CTCCAGCAGCCAAGAAAGTGAAGAATGACGATGACGTGGTCATTATTGATGATGACGCTGGTACCGGCGCGATAGAAATCCTCGATTGAATGTTCGTCGCATTTAGCAAATGAGAACTCGACGAGATTCACGTTGCGCTTAAGCCTCCGTCGATATTGAGCACGCAGTTGTGTGCGTAGGAATTTTGGGCTAGGAATAATGCAGCATTTGCTACCTCTTCGACCAAACCGAGGCGTCCAAGAGGGATGAGAGCAGATAGCTCGTTTTTCCGATCCATGTCTGTCGAGCCTGTATATTAGTAATCGTGTACTTTGTAAGAGGATCGGTTAGGGGAACGGGTTTGAACAGGCGGGGGGAGAGAAAAAAAATCAGGAAGGATGAGATGTCACCTTTCGTCATATCGGTCTGGATATATCCGGGCAGGAGGACATTGGCACGAATGCCAAAGCGGCCGACTTCCCAGGCCAGAGATCGCGTTAGACCTAGAACAAGCGTGTTTAGTTAGCTTGCGAGCTTGAAGAAATGACCGAGTGCGTACCAACGACGCCGGCTTTTGACGCGGCATAGACGCTTGCCCCCCGTCCCCCGTGAGTAGCTAGCAGACTAGCCACGTTGATAATACAGCCTATGATAACAAGGTGCAAGTGTTAGTTGTAAGTTGAGAATACGTCGGCGTGTAACCAACTTACCCTTTCTCTGCTTCATCATCTTGGGTATGAAGTATTTACAGCCCCATATGGTACCCGTGAGGTTAGTGGCAATAATCTCAGTCACGTCTAATCTGCTAGTGTTGAATAAGAAAGAGTTCTGCGAAACGCCAGCAGCGTTGACGAGAATATCACAGGTTTGCTATGATATCATATCTACATCAGTGTCGTGTACGGAAACATAGCGAGAGAATGCATACTAATTTGGAATCGGATATCAGCTTTTCCCAGCCATTTTGCGTCGAAACGTCGAAGGCGGTTGTGTAATGCTGCTGTGAGGAACCTTCCTGTCGGTGTAGAGAATTTGCAGCACTGAGGAGAGTGTGTTCATCACGTCCGATAAGAGTGCACCCTGCTCCATGAGCGGCGAAGAGCCTGGCGATGGCCAATCCGATGCCCCGGCTGCCGCCCGAGATGAAGCAATGCTTTCCGGCCAGGGACTGCATTTCTTCTATTTCTTCTATTTCTTCTATTCTATTACACAGAAGAATATGGAACTTATTACCGAACTAGGTCAGCCGACTGTGTAATAGTATTTGTACATGTATATATGGAGGCATGTATAACATTCTTCTTTATTGGTATCTCATTATTACCTGTACAGGTAGCGATGCCTCCATATCCATATCTCTGTCTATAGCCATATTCAATTCTCAATACGGGAGATATGTACCTAAAAAGGTTGGTCACGTGCATAGAGTAAGCTTAAATGATGCCCATGTACGAAGTACTGATTCAATTAAGTGACATCTAATTCGTACAAGATACGAAAATTCGGAAAAAGTAACTTGGTACGGATTACCGCCAAGCTCTTGGATTTAGGTACCTGTTTGCCTTTCTGCAAGTTACATAGTACATGCAACTTTTCCCCTGAAAGATGACCACTTCCAATCGGTTTTCAGGGGTCCATAAACGAAAGACTGACGATACGAATGTGGGGGTGATAGTAGATTGGGCTTGAAGGAAAACGTAAACGCCTATTTTTGATTTTAAAGTTGAGATGATGCCAACTCTACAACTTTACCATTCTGCAATGACGGGGACGGGACGGGGATAATCCAAACAATTTAAAGGAAAACAATTGCAGCCAAGATAAAGAAAAAAGATAAAATCCACATAAAGTTAACTCCTAGATCTATGCGAAATATTGGCAAAAGAAAATTATGGGTGAAATTATAAAAAGTTAAAGAATACTTCGGAGAAAAAAAGAAGAAGAAGGAGAAGAAGGAAGAAGGAAAACCAACCACGATTTATATGCGGTGATCCTTGTGGCTTGGGACGGGTTGATCAACTGAATCCTACTCACATCTATTCTTGATTATCTTTTACCTTATTACCTTATTACCTACATCCCTATATTCCCTTTTAGTCGCCTTCTCTTCCTCTATAATATTACTACCTAAATTAATATTCCTAGACAATCGCAGTCTAAAATTAACCGCCGAGATTGGATCGTTTTCGATGCGCGACCGTCAACATCGCCCACATCGCCCACAACCTACGACTCTAAGAATTGATCCGAACCCGACCCCGACCGGGACGGGAGCCTCGCCCGTTGCATCCCGAGCTTTCATGCTAGTGTCCAGATTGAGGAGGACAGACCCTCGGATCCGATGAATATAACTAATCACGCCCACGCCAATGGCGGCGCTGGGCCTAATGGGCCTATAAAGAGTGTAGAGGACGTCGAAGAGAAGCCTCCCGTGATCGATGCCGGGTTGCGGAGTTTGGATCATTGTATGTGCTACCATTATTATTATTATTATTATTATACTTGTAAAAGAGGTGGAAAGGAACGACGTATCGGAGCAATTGAGAATCTGAGCAAGAAAGGATCAAGTTATTAACGATTGCGCGCATGAGACATTGTTCGCTCTCAAACGTTTAAGGTCTCACATACGAAGAAGGAAATCTTATACAATACAACCTCAAGAGCACACATACTAATCTATCTTGCATTACTACAGACAAGCGCGCTCTTCCGAAATGGCGGTACGAATTGCGACAACGAGCTCTCCCTCTCGTCAGATGGGAGACACCTTATTTAGCCTGGTTACAGGCCACTTTGCGCTCGCCTGCGCTCGACAGCTACTTCGCCATCACGGCTAACCTCGGCACCCATACCTTTTTTATGATCGGTCTACCTATAATGTTCTGGTGTGGGAATGCCTCCTTTGGGAAAGGGTACGGTTATCTATCCCAATTACGAGAGACTACGTGAAGTAGGAATGCGAACAGCTATTAACATAGACCACCAGAATCGTACACATCCTTGCGACGGGTGTCTTCTTCACCGGCTTTGTTAAAGACTTCTTCTCACTACCGCGACCACTCTCTCCACCCCTCCACCGTATCACCATGTCTGGTTCCGCAGCGCTCGAGTACGGTTTCCCCTCGACCCATTCCGCCAACGCCGTCTCTGTCGCCGTCTACGCTATCCTATGCCTCCACGACCCCGACAACCCCTTCCAGCCCGCCACACGCTCCGCCCTCGAGGCGCTCGCCTACTTCTACGCGATTAGCATCGTCTTCGGCCGCCTCTACTGCGGCATGCACGGCTTCGTCGACGTAATTATCGGCTCCCTCATGGGCGCTATCATATCTCTTGTCGAGTTCTACGGCGGTCCCGTCCTCGACCTTTATCTTGAGGAGAGTTGGACAAGCCTGTGCGGTCTATTACTTCTTATTATCATCTTGATTCGTGTACACCCTGAACCCGCGGATGACTGCCCTTGCTTCGACGACAGTGTGGCCTTTGCGGGTGTCATGATGGGACTTGAGATTGGTACGTGGCGTTTTGCACGGTCATCGTGGGCCGACATTCCGTTTGACGCCGTGGCGCTAGGATGGGCGGCTGTCGCGCTGCGTATCCTGTTCGGTGTGTTGGTCATATTCGCATGGCGCGAGGTAGCTAAGCCGTCGCTACTAAAGGGCTTACCGCATCTATTCCGGCTCATCGAAATTTGGGGCCTTATTTTGCCCCGTCGCTTCTTCATGCCCGCCTCCGAGTACAAGAACATTCCTCTACGTCTCCGCGTCGACAACGTCATGCCTAACGTGAGCGATCTACCGAACTTACTCACAGCTGTACGACACCCCGGCCGCGGCCGCTCCGTTAGCGTTGGTCCCCAGAGCGCGGCCGACGCATACGAGACGCTGGCGTACCGCGAGCGCAGGCGCAGGGAAAGCGTCAGCGTGGGGGCTGGAAATGCAGAAAACAATGCCGCTACTAGTAGCGGTACTAATAACGGCGTGTTGCGTAATAGAGCCAGTGTGCAGGATATCCAGCAGCAAAAAGAAATTGACAATGCGCGGAGCTCGGCCGTCAGCAATATCAACGGCGCTCATAATAAGCCGAGCGACTACGAGAAACTAATGGGAGAGGGCACAGTGGTGGTCTCGCCGGCCGAGACAGATGGGGAGCCGGATATAGTAGTGGGGCAACATGATGAGCTAGGTGAGAAGGAGGTCTTCTCTAGACTAGTAAAGCCGCGGGTGCGGTATGATGTTGAGGTTGTTACGAAGTTGGTTGTGTACTGTGGTAAGTATCTCCCTTTTCTTCAATATTTTTATCTGTGCTGTGTTCGTTCGCTTTTCATCGAAGTAATTTACATCTTAACATTACTCGAAACTAGCTGGGGCATCTCTTGTATATATATTAACTAAGTACCCTAGGAATCGGCTGGCTGGCCGTCGAAATCGTGCCCGTACTGTACGAGATCATTCCCGGCTTAGGCGCCAGTCACCTCCGAGTGGCGTAGCCTAGCCGAGACTAAGAGTGAGACAGGGGGGTTACGACACAGCTGTACTTAATTCAGTATGTGTGACGCTTGCCATGAGACATGCGATGATACATACCCTCTGCCATGCCGGTAGTTGCGTTCGCTCGCCTGCTCCTGTGATGATATGGAATGCCCGTTCTTCTTTAGTATTCTTGTATATAATTCTGTCCGGCATTTAATAATATTTATACTTCCCCTTATATTTTGATTTCCTGTAAGTCGACGTCTAGTCTACACTCTTATAAGTCTTCTACCCATGACATAATGTATATGTGTTGATCTACATAGCTTAACTTGGTGATGATTAAGTGCTGAAGTATTTATTTATTACAGTACAATACTATACTATCTCCTCCTTAATGATACCCATGGAGGATAAGCCCGTTTGATGCATTCCCAAAGACACCAAGACAATCTTGCTTGAAAGGATTTTCCAATCTCTATTTAAATGCATAAGGCATTTTGAAGACAATCCCCATTTACATATGCGCAATAAGTGGCTAAGTAAGCCGCTTAACCAACTTTTATTATAATCCAAATCCTAAATCCCGTCGCTGTATATGCCACGACTACCCGTAGGTAAATCATTATCTACCTAGGTAATTATGGCAGTTCCGATTCTCGTAAAGTGTAAGTTCTATGTTAAGTATTATTAGTTGGTGAAGTGGTCCTCGATCAGACGGAAATTGTTACTCACGTTCTCGACCCCTGATTGGATCCGTCCGTAAGCGTCTCCCCCGAAATACGATCTGGGGGGAAATACGCCGGCGGGGGTGTTTCGGGCTGGGCACCGTCCGTCAAGAGATCGATCCTAGTATCTCTGTGGTGTTGGCTATATTGTGGCGGGGGCGTTCCATGAGAAGAAATCGTCGTGGCTTCGCTGCCACTGTCGCTGGAGACGTCACTAGAGCTCAGGTTGGAGCTAAGATCCCAAAGATTGAGAAACCTTAATGGGCTAGGACGCGGAGGCGAAGGCGAGGCTATTATCTCTTCTTCTCTGCGCGGGCGGCGGCTTTTGAACGCGTGCTCGCTGGCTGCTGTGTAGATGAGACACAGGATGAAGAAGGGTATGAGGAATACGACGAAGAAGAGCGTGAAGCAGAGGCCGGCGAGGGTAAAGGTGACCGGCGGCGGCATGCCCATGACGTTCTTGTCTCTGCACCTCGAGTGGGCTATCTTGAACCCTATAGCTATGCAGATACAGGCGTAGACGAAAATGCCGGTGTATAGGAAGGCGACACCAGGCGATGTTATGGCAGCTAATGGCGAGAAATCCATAATGGGACTTCTGTTTGTCAGAAACTTACAGTCGAGAAGCATTTACGGTCGAGAAGAGCATACCTTTCTTGAAGGACAATAACATCCCTTATCATGGATATTCGGCTAGACATCTTGTCGTTTCGCGTGCTTGAATAAATGGTTGGATTGGGGAGAAACATGGAACAAATCTCATTTTACTTGCTCCTCTTCAAGTCTAGTCGGGAGTGGCCGCTTTATATAGTCCTCAGATCCTCTCGAGCAACAGAGTTTAGCATCCTAAAGAGTGGCCGTGCCATGCCCACAAGATCCGAACTATCTGTCAACCAAAGTATGGCCATAGGCGCCGGGTCCATATAGTTCGACAGCTTTGTCAAAGCGCTCTGATATACCGCCATGAGAGTTCGGCTCTTTGGTAGTTAGATCGAATTTGGTTTGTCGGATCATGTCTACGTAGCGTCATGGCTCGGTGAGTCAAGAGTGTGGAAGTTAAAGGTCCTCCACGGTTAACCCGTGCTATACTTGGGCCCATAGCGGAAAACACACAGATCTTAGGAAGTTGGCGGTTAATAGAGTAGCATAGTGTATATATTAGCTTTGTTGTGGCAAAGTTAGTACAAGTATGTATTTACGTAGGAGAACTTGATCTAAAAACATTGACCATTCTCTACATTGGCATCTGGCCCTGCTACTGGTGCTCTGAATATATATACCTTATATCTATGGCTAAGGTTCATCGCAGTTCATTGATGACACTGCCTCATTCGGAGCTTAAAGTGTAGATAGTCTGGCGAGCATACGGGATAACATTACAAGGCCACTAGTTCATATCATAAATGAAACTCTAGGTATATTAGTATGGAACGAGGCGTTGGAGAATTTGAGAGGCACCTAACTAAGTCTATAGACCGGGATAGTACCTTTGTCGTAGATATTCTATAACGTGTTCAACGCTATATCCTACAGGATACTCTAAATATACTTATACGTGAACTTTCTAAGGTCTATCTGATGGTCGTAATATAAAAGCTTTAACTTTTGAGTCGCAAGCTGCCTAGTAGGTAATTTGTTATTCATCTGCATTTATGCATCTAGGAAGTTCTCCTTTCCCAAGAACTAAATAAGAGAGTTGATAATATACGCCCCCTAAGCCGGTATGTCACTTTTCCATACAAATGGCATCTAATAGGTATATATTGTTAGTTATGTTGTCTGGATAGCCAGTGGGTCATAGTAGACAGCTAATAATGAAGACACGATTTGAAGATAGATTGGCTCTCTGGACCTCATTGCATAGCGAGTGTCCAAAGTTAGGACTTTGCAATAACAACTGGTTTCTAACACTAATTAGGATCTGGATCTCTGTCATCATAAATCCCATCTCTACTTTTAGCCCTTGACATCTCAAGGGAGCCCGAAGACTTGTATACTTCCTAAAACATACACCTAACAGATACTCTTACCTATAGGACAATCCGACTTTATCAGCCGGTGTACTACGGCTTACAGTATTTCTATCCCGCCCGGCCTTTCAATACGAACTCGGTATAACAATTACGGGGTAGCGGTTGGATGGCCGGTCACTCACGTAAATTTAACGTGTTTCTTTTTCCCCTCTCAGACAATCTTCACTCTTAGATTTCTATCTAGGGGATAATGTGTAATTATTTTCTACCTCAGCGAATTTTCATTTCCTAAAAATAGACGTTCCATGAACTTATCATCAAAATTTTAGATTGCAAATAGTATAAGGACTTGCAAGTTGCAAAAGTAGTAGCTCTATCTGTACGCGAAATTCTTTCTCTTTAGTACTATGGCAGTGCACAAAGCAGGCCAAGCTTCACTAGAGGTATTTACCTAGCTTTTGACAGTATATGTAAGTAACCGCCCTGTAAATCAACACAACACTACTAGCTACCTAGCTTTAATCGACCGTAAAGTACCTAATGATACTCTATGACTTGGACTTAGTCATCAGTGAGGTCTATGACTTCAGATGGAAAACGTCGAGCCTTAGCAGGGAGAGCTGATGTACCATCCTCAGTTAGATCATAAACCTCGTAAACCTCACGTTTGATAAATCTCGGTTCTTCTTTGACGAGCTGCTTTTCTATCTGTAAATAATAGTCAGTTATGCTACTTAACGAGAAAGAGGTAAAACTGACATTTATTTCCTCAAGTCTCTCCTTTGCTAGTCGGGTTATTTCAGCCATAGAAAGCCCGTCTAGACTTGGTAATCTGGGTGGAGTCTGCGGGATTATCAACTCTTGCTGGAGAGCCCCTAATTCTGGTGATAAGCAAGGGAAGTGAATAGTTCCTGCAAAGAGAACTTACTTCTTGATCTGTACCGAAATTGGAAGATGGCAATAGGGCCATTATCACCCGGGGGACGCATGGCTTGCATATACCTAGGGCGTGAAGTCTTTATACTAGTAGATAAACTATAGCAGTGAATTAGGATAATGCAGAGAGAATAGAGATTGTTGTCTCACATGGTTCCATGGGAAATTGATTTGCCCTTCAGGGACCTCTCGGCAAGCTCAAAAGAAGAACCCCCCAGCTGAGCGTACCCGTCGTAGTGGTTGTAGTCCTCCATAACATAAATTCCGCGTTCTACTTTAACCTCGATTAGCCCGAGGTTTTTGGCTACCTGTTGATCTTTCTCGATGCGTTCTTTCGTCACGTCCTCGACTTGAACACTCAAAGTTAGTACCCAACATTTATGATTTATGAATCTCCATCTATACGTCCTAACATACCGATTTTCACTGTAGAAAATTTAAGTGCGTGATTGAACCAGGATTTAGTGTTGTCGCAGAATATATCTTGGCCTTTGACCACCTCCTCATATTGGCCATTTGTGAGGTTGTTTTTATAGATAATTCGACCTCCAATCCAAGTAGAATCGACCCAGACGCGGAAAGTAAGACAGTGGATCTTGTCACCCCAGTTGTAGTCCTTTTGTACACTGAAGCAGAGAGTGAACTCGGTGTTATCAGGTGACTCAATGTATTTCGACGACGTCGGGTGACTGAGCTGCTGCTCGGGAACATCAAGGTCATCGTATTCCAGACAGTCTACACCATTGATGCGCACGGTGACCTTTATACCAGGAATGGCTTCAAGGACGGCCATGATGGTGGGCGCGTAAAAGCTGTTCGTAGCTTGGATGATAGTCGAGGCAAAAACGAAGCCTACCTACCTAGCTTACGGATAAGATACGTTGATGAAATCTACCTAGGAATCAAGTTTGGAAATACCGGGAAGGTCGACTTTGAGGAATTAATCTGCGTGACACTATCTAGTGATGAGTGGGAGGTTGTGTGATTGAAATTGAAAGGGATAAGAAAATAACCTTGAAGAAAATATTGTAGTCGATGTCTTAGGTATTTACCTAAGGGTAGGCAGGTGAAAGGTAAGGTTGTGTGCCTAAGTTAGGTAGGTTAGGTAGGTTAGGTACCTACTTGAATTCGAATCTGCGAGGAATCGCAGGCACGCACGTAGCTGCTTAAGTTGTTCCTGCACTTTATTGGATTATGGGTTGGAGATGGCTAGGTACTTAGGTACCTACCTTAGGTATGTATGTAGTTGCGTACTGAAACCACACACAGAAGAAGCCAATAGCTAGAGCGATAGAAATAAGTTACATGTCTGCTCGTCTTGGTATGGTATAACTTACTGTTTGAATGAATGTCTCGAGTAGCTACTAGTGTAATTTTTGCTTCTAAAATTTCCTCTGAAATCACTAGGTTAGACTAAATATACGTGTACCATATTTGCTTTGCGACAAGTTGTAATGAATTTCTTTCTTTTTGACCCTGTCTACAGTTTGCAATTCTGCCGTACCTTGTCGATGGCAACTGCGCATTTACGCAATTGTCAAGTTCAAACGAGACTGGATCTCCGGTATATTCTATCGTCGAAGAGTTGGACTCGTTTAGAACATACCCCTAGTTCTAGAACTAAATATTCCCTTCCACATCATTTGCCATTGGATGAAATGAGACCGCACGATTTAATAGTTGAGCGTCCATTAGGCATGACTTGTATGGAAGTTCAAGACGTAGAAGCTTTAAATATATACTCGCTTAGATAGGCTTTGGTCGCGGATCTTCATGTAGTGTCGTAGAGCAAGATTGTGCTACTCACGCCGCCAGCGGATTAGCGTGGATAGTCACCTTCTCGACCGACACCTTCTCTTTTGGTCGATTCTTCTTGTCCACTTCGAGTGCTTCTAGTTTAGCCAAAGTAGCGAGACTGTCGTCCCCAATAAGCTTTCCAAACACGGTATTTAAGCCATCCAGATGAGGCGCCTTATCGAAGATAATAAAAAACTGTGAGCCGTTGGTCCCGGGTCCTTTATTTGCCATCGATACAATTCCACGGGCATTATGCTTAAGGGCTGGCCGGATCTCGTCCTCAAATGTCCCGCCCCATATTGACCGGCCGCCTTTTGGGTTATCTGGCGTAGGGTCTGCAGGGCCACCTGTTTGAACCATGAACCCGGGGATCAATCGGTGAATTGGCGACTGGTGATAGTAGTTTGATGCACATAGTGCTAAGAAGTTCTACATGAATGTAAGTTGTCTGACAATGTTGAAGTGATGTTGAAGTGAAGGCTTAAGTTGTATGGGTATACGTACCTCAGCGGTCTTGGGCACGCTTTCACAGAAGACCTCAATTTTGAGATCACCCTGAGTGGTGTGTAGGGTGACGGACATTGTGTCGAAGAACTCTTAAGACGGGCAGCATATCCGGGAAACTGGGACTACGCGATCAGGGCCCTAAGACCTCTTAGCACAGCTCTATCCAGTGCTACGTGAAATGAAACAACGAATGATGAATGACGAATGACGAATGACGTGAAGTCAGAAGTTCAAAAAAAAGTTACGATTCAGCGGTAAAGAGTTGTGGGGGTCGCGGAGTGGAGGAGGCTAAAACATCCAAACCCAGGAGCCGTTGCGGGGCTAATACGCCCTAAATTGATTAGACAGGGGCTACCTGTTAGGGCTGGTAGGTAGTACGTACACTAGTAAAAGACAGTGGACCTCTTAGACATGCAGGTCACATTTGCGGTCCATCATCTTATCCCGTTATCATTTTTATCTGTATGTAGGTAGTCTCTTTGGTCTAGTTACATGTAGTTACTACCTCCTACGGATTAAAAACGCGGGGACACGTGGGAGCAATACCTGCGAATCATCCTACGATTTCCCGGAAACATAGGGTTCCCGCCGTAAAGTTGATGGCGCGCTGGGGGGTTACATTGCTGCTGGGCGGCAAAGGCGCCGTGCCAGGCGTGCATATATGTAGGACTTTACATAGTGTGCATAGAACTGGTTGTGGGTTGTGGGTTGTAAGCGCTAAGCATAGCTGAGGGCTGAGGTGGAAGGGTTGAGCTCGGTTTATCCTGACAAATATTAATTGGTATCTCTATTCTCTTCTATAAGGGAGTTGTTAAGGCTAGAAGCCCAATATTATTACAGCTTTGCTCAGTTAGTCTAGATACTTACATGTATGAAGGCAATGAGAAACTTGATAAGAGTAAAAATAACACTTGTGTAATATCGCATGGTATCGATACCTAGCAGCCTAGGCAGGGGTAGCCTTCAGGGTCATCAGCCTCATCCCGTTGGCCAGGTTCAGGCTCCTACATGGCCCCCAAGCTAAGAACCCTTCTGTACATACATTGGGTAGGCATTCGTGAAGGTACACGTCTGCGTCGGAATAGGCTTCTATGCAAATGGCGGTTTGTTTCACTCGCCCGAAGTTACACTCCCACGTGTGGTCATGCACATTATGGCACCAATTACCTGTCTATTTTCTGTATTACTAAGTTATATAGTTGTTGAAATAGAAACGTTCGATGTCGCGAGGGGGCGGAATGTCTAAACCCTAAGAAAAAACATAGTAACTATCGATATGTACGCGTGTTTCTATGTAAGTGGAAAAGACAAGTGCATAATTTACTAGGTTACTCATTTTGTTGTAATGATAAATCATCTCTACGGTAGTTCTATATATCGTATCTGCGATATCAACGCGTTTGGCTAACATCGATAGGTAGTTAATGGTTGATGTAGCTTACTTCTGTCGTCATTAACAACTCAATTAACCTAACTATAACAACACAGTTACGCAAGACATAATATTTATAAGTGTGAAGCCAATTGTATATAACTAGAGAAATAGGTACCTATCAAAGTACTTATTATGTACATGTAGGTTGTCGGTAGGTAACATTGGTACGACATGGTGAGTTGCTGGTACCTGATATTTTATACTCGGGGCTCGTCTTTGTAGGTACCTGATATATGTCAGATAGGTACTACCTCCACTACGCCTAACCGCCCAAATCGGAACGGCCGTCTATTGGCTTTAATTCAAAGATGGTGGAAGTCTCTCCAAATCCGCGTGCTCCTACAGCTTGCCAATTTCCCCTTTCAGCTTCAAACTTTCGGGCAGGTGGTATCTGTCACATTTTCCCATCTTTCACCACCTCCAGGCAGTACCATAGTATGACTTAGGTATGCTAAACTCCCTAAAACATCCTTAAACATCCTTAAACATCCTTAAACATCCCTAAACATCCGAGCCTTAAGAGACGCCCTTTACCTTTTACCACGCATTCTATTACCCACACTTAGCAATACATACTGTAGGAAGAATCCCTGACTTTCTTCCCACCCCCCGTAGGACTTGTGGGGTTAAAGCAGTTGATTCTACTGGCACACAGGTGCAATTCAATCGTTTACTCCTGGCATATTCCGGGGGAGGAAAAAATAAAAAAGGTCTAAAAAGGTCCAATTCAATGTAAATTGGTCTTCCAGAACCTTATTCCCCCTCCCTCTCCGCGGTGAACCTTTTAGCTGCCCGTTATCTTGTCGTAGGTATACCGGTTTCGTTACGTAGCATACTCGTAGCAACACAAGCCAAGTCCTAGCAGCCGAGCTACGGAGCTACAAACCTGCCAACTTCAACGTCTGGAAATCAAGAACAGTAACCTCCAGGGGATATCCCACTCCGCTCGTTTTTTAATATACCATTTTGCTATCAATTCGCCTATCGATCTTTGTGGAAACCGAGCGGGCTGTGACTTTACACACCTACCCGCCAGTCGATCACCGGTCAATAGTCCAGTCCACAGCCCGTCGATTTCGCGTCCCTATCTCAGCCACCTGTCTCCATCAGCTACCGAGCTACCGAGCAACCAAGTCACCAAGCTATCTGTACCTATACGTATTTACCAATTGCTGCGTCCCGCCTTTTTGCGACTCTCCACCCTCAATTCCCTTGACAGGTAACACTAAGCGACACCACTCTCGACGATAATAACTTCGCTTACCGATCACACCTATATTTGAGCCTCGACGACATTACTTCGACGACATTACTACGACGACTAAGATTTGACATGTAATGCGCCTTTCTACGACATATCTCGGACTGTGCAGAGATCGCATTTCGCAAGAGGGTGTCGGCTTACAGCCGTCCGCGAGGAATAGATGCGCCCGGCCGACGCTAAACATTTGCCTTTTCTTCCACTTACCGGACACAGCGCGTAAGGAGGATGGCAGAACGAGTGCAAGCCTTGGTTCGGGTTTCCGGTCCTCCGAATAGCAGTTTTCTAGTTGGGTATCCTGGTATTTCGGCGACGTTGGTGAGTTTGCGCATCAATCCCATTTATCTCGACCTTAGCTTCCGTTTCCGTTTCCGTTTCCGTTTCCTCGACGTGGGGTTCGCGGCTTGGATAAACCCGAATTCAAGGATGACTCGAAGCCTCTCTAACTACCTAACCTAACTCGACTAACGCATGTCTGTAGCCGCGCATTGAGGGTAAGGTCGAGATTAGGCCTGCATCAGGGTATTCCGCCCCCGTTGCTATCTCTCTAGTGCGAATATGTCTACAAAGAAGAGAAACAATCCATCCAGCGGCCGAAAATGTAGCCAAGCGCCACCTCGGGACGCCTCGACGCGATACTACCGACGTTGTTGGAAAGGAACTTTTACTATACCGGTGCGCAACAGGCAGGGAAGCAGAGAATGTCATGACGATGGACCTGCCATTCGTCTTGTTTATCCCGTTTGGACGAGGCGGTGAAGAAACGAATAGAAGGATACCGCCGGCTTCGTTACAACTCCCAAGCAGGACCGCAGAGACATATTACGAACTAGTGGTTACCGTGCAGCAGGGACAGAGCTTTCAGAATAAATATGCGTTTCCGGTCCCTTTACAACGATACGATACGTTATCGACCTTTGGAATGTATAACCGACCCGAACACAAGGCCGTGACCTCCGACAACATAGTCACGCTCGGCATTTCGCTTCCGAGATGGAGTTACGGACCTATGGACCCGATTACGGTATATATCAAGTTGGCCCCTAATCCCGACTGGCTAGCCAAGGCGAGGAAGGTGACCATACAGAAGATCACGCTCGCGATAGAGGAAGAGATTACGTATAACCCCGAAGGAGACGAGCCGACTAAGAAAGTGAATAGGCTACAGAAACATACACAGACGATAGGAGCCAGATTACCGGAAGAAGGTTACGTTACTAATATGGGCATTATCTTTCCGCATAAGGACCTAAGGGATGCGAATGGAATCATTCGAAGGGGGCAACCGGCTTTCCCAAACTACGAAGTCACGTCATTCACGACAACATCTACACTCTACAAGATCGAGTTCTTCCTCGCTATTAAGGTATGTTAGATACGAGCGTGGTGAAAGCTGTGAAGGGGTTTGTTTGCAGATTATCGCTAACACTTGGTATAACACAGGCGCAATTGGCATCGGCCCGTGATATCATCCTTCGACAGCCTATCGTTATATGCCCACTAGATCATCAAGCATGCAAGGAAGAAATGGATGCCATCGAACAGGCAGCGAAAGATGCCTCCGCAGTCGACCAAAATAATCCAATGCTGCCGGCGAGAACCATCGTTTTGGCCGACGACCCGAATGCTTTAGCGTCTCTAGGATATTGCTTAGTAGGAGGTCAGAAGAAACCATTGATCGAATGAGAATGGCATCCTACGAATTTGATGAGGCCGGGGTGTCTATCTTCAATTTCGCGTGATACTATACCGGAGCATTGTGGGCTCACCGAGTTTAACGAACGGGCGCATACTTTTCACAGGCTTAGACGTTCGAAAATTTGTCTCACCTAAGAATTTCCGTGCATCCGAAGGGCCATTGGTTCTTCACCATCATACTGGCCCGAACTGGTATGGGGGAGGAGTAGAACTACTGCCACAGTAGTAGAGTGCTAGGCCAATGCATAATGCAATGGAACTGGTTGCTCATATTATACATACCTACCTAAAGATTAGGGGGCTTAGGAGGCTCTTCTAGCCCCTTAGCTCTTCTAGTTAGGGTTACAGCAAGATATACCGTCAACCCCTTAGACGGTCTATGCAGACGGGCAAATAAAGCATAGGCATGATTCGTTAGTAATCATATTCGTCCAAGGAGATTTCAGAGTGGGATGCGAAAACGGGGTTGGAGTTTAGAGGATGCGCGGTTTGATTGTAACAGCTTTGCGTTTAACGGACACGCCCACTGTCGTGTCGGATTTTGCGGCGTTACGGTCATGAGATATTCCCAAAGGGCGGTGCAAGATCGGAGAATAGGATACCAGCGCATCGAATTCCGGGCGTTCGTGGGAAATACGGTTATTTGGATGGCCTCAACTTTACTTTATCCCTTCCTCTAATTACGAGCACAGAAATATCATCATGTGTTATTCGTTAATAGGCCAACCAGCCTAAGGATACGACCGGATAAAAGGAGAAATGCATTATGGAACCTATTTCGCGTTGCCACCGAGGCGTCTGTCTAAGGAATTGATACTGTAGAAGTTGGATTGTTGGGATTGCATCTACGCGTACATACGCCGCAAGTTTACGATCTCCAGCTTGGACAGGAATGAGTATATGTTGGCATGGAAAGGAATTCCAGCATGAAAGAAGTTTGGCCTATATCCTTGGCGCTATTTTAAATATCGCATAGGGCAGCAAGACATCTTATAAAGGCTGCCTAGGTATTTTGGCATATAGGTAACTTTACGTATTAGGCCAATTTTTAAATAATTATTTATACTATTCGTCTACTTATGGGTAAGGGATGTGCTTGCTGCAGTTTATTTACAGGTATGTACCACCCAATATTAGGAAGGATTCTATGGATGACGATATGTATTCGTGAAGCTTTTACCCCGCCCCCTCCGAGCTAGTCAAAACGTAAAAATGTAAAAATACACGAACACTCTGCCAAGACCAATAATAACACACACACACTTGTTGCTAAGGCGAGGGACAGTAGAAAAAGATCTGAACTTGATTTTTAAAAAGATTGCGAATTTAGCAAAAAGTAAATTGTTTTGAGAGCTGCAGGATTCGAACCTGCGCGGTTTCCCATCGCGGGTTATACGGTGTTCTTTTGGAAGACCTAAACACGACGCCTTAACCACTCGGCCAAACTCCCATTTGTTGAAGAACTGGGCTGATGTTTTAGTATATAACGCAAAGTGCTTGACCGTCAGAATTTTCACAGTGATGAAAGAGTAAAGGTCAAGCTGATTGGACAACCTGAGTTGTCTAAGCTGGCTTGGGCTTAGTGGGTCCTAAGCTAGGGAGATAACCTTGAGCTAAGATTCTTGTGCGCAGGCACAAGGCAAACATCTAGCTTAGGTAAAAGAAGAATAATAACTACGAGATTAATAGCCCTCGGTTTTGATGGCATATTGAATACATTTAATGCATTTAATGAGAGTCGGGCAGAATTTACTCTTTTCCTTACCGGAAACAATTCTTTTCAAGTGAAGGAAGATTATTTAAGCAATAATATTTCAAGCTTTACATGTGATAACCTTCACTAATTGTACCATCGCAAAGATTCTATCTCTACCGGGGTCCGAGTCACCACTCCCCCCAAATCTCAAGCATAATGGCCTTTGACGACGAAGATCCCACTCTATCGTCGGCTTTACCACCTACTACCGGGGACCGAGGAGCAGATGAGGCACCGTCGCTTGAAGATGCCCTTGCGGATGAGATGCAGGATTTCCGGCTGTTCGCCTCGCTCTTCGATAAGAAGCAGGCCGGGGGTAAGACGTTACGTCGCGGCGAGAAGGATTTCGAGTCGCATGGCACGCGCGCGCAACAAGGTGCCTTGGATGCCAGCCGCGATGCCATGCACGAGGTCTTGAGCTACACGCGCTCTCACAAGCCCAAGGACCACACTCGCGCCTGGTACTTCCCGGATAAATGGGTTGATGTGCCTCCCGCGGAGGAGACAGAGGGCGAGAAGGGCGCGGGGTTGTTTGCTAGGGAGCGTGTGGTGGTCGTGGAGAATGAGATAAAGGGGCCCCTTGGCCAGAACACTGGTCGAGTTGTCACTGGTCTCGAGGGGTATAAGCAGACGCCGGGGTGGCTTAAGACGTGGTTATTACCGGAGGAGGCTTTATACCTAGTCGAACGTGGTTCGTTGGATCTCTGGTGGCCGGCACGAGGGATTGAGGATATCCTCCCGGTGAAGCAGGACGGAGCGAATGAGAACGATGACGAACTTAGCAGAGAGTTTGAGGACTACGAGCTCGGAATACCACTTAGTTTCCAGGCGGCATACGCACTTCTTATCGGTCAGGACGGCGAGAGAGGCAAGGTTAGCCTCGAGAAGTACCAGGTCTACGCTAACCTCCGGAGAACCGGATATAAAATCATGAGAGCGACTTCAATATCGTTACCACCGCCGGTTTCCGCCAAATCCTCATCCCAGGCTCTATGGCAGTGGTTATTCTCTTTATTCCCCGTATCATCGCAAACGCACTCACCGTCCTACGGACCACTCGTCAAGCCAGGCCTCTACCGTTCCTACAACCCGATCTTCACACAGCTCGCCCTCCTCCCGCGACACACACCTACCCCCAACCCCCAAGCTTCCACCCCACCGTCGGAAGAGCCGTTCCGGATCCACTTCCACGTGTGGAAGAGTAGCACCGCGTTCCCCAAAACCAAGCCCCCATCTCCCGACTTCCGAATCGCAGTCGCAGACGCGCGCGACTCGTCCGTACCTACTCTCGAGCAACTGACGGCGCTCCTGGAGCACTGCACACCGTGGGATCCGCCCGAGGTGAAAGACGGCAAGGATGGAGTAGGAGCGGGGGCCATGTACCGCCGTCTCAAGCACGCGTGGCGCAACGCGATTATCGCGGTCGTGGATCGCGGGCTCATTAGCTACGTCCGGTTTGGCGAGATGGCGTTTGGAGAGGAGAAGTTGTACAAGAAGGTTGGTGGGGGCAGGGGGGCTAAGGGGAAGAGAGGCGGCAGAGGTGGAAGAGGACGAGGCGGTGGGAGGGGGAGGGGACGAGGTGGATGAGTTTATGTCTAGGTTATGGGGGATTGAAATTTTTGAAGGTGTGGCTACTGGCCGTCGAGAAGTGATGTTCTCGCCGATACCTGCGGCACTGAATTGATATCATCCCTCTTGTTGAATTGGCTAGATAGGTAAGTAGGTACGCAATTCAATCTACAAGCTCAACGGATACTCAATTGCAATGCTTATGTACGAAAACGCAAATTATCACCTGTATCTATGCGCGTCGACTTTCTTGGTGTTTAACGAATAGTCACGTTGAATATATGGTGATATGTAATTTCCACTTCTCGTATCTGGACCTGTTGTGTATGTTGATAATCAACTAGCGAAACCTATCTACCTAGCCTAATATATCACTATTACACGTGAACCTCCCTCTGCTATTCAAGAGACGCACGTAGATCAGACGCCTTGAAAATATTTATTTTCCAAAGAATGAACGTCTCCCACGTTCTTAGTGCGGCCCCGAATAACATCCTTGTCTATCATCTCGATATGATGTTACCAAACTAACACTAACTCTGTTGTACATGGGTTAGTCGTCAGTAGTGCGATAGTCATATAATTGGACCTACTTAACTACCTACCCGAAATGAACTTTAGATCCGTGTGATATTCTTACGGTGGGGGAAATGCGGTGCGTCTAAAGAGAAAACAACCTCGGACTCTTAAAGCATGTCTTTCTAGTCGCACTGTAACACAGCTGCGATCGTATCACTAATATGTATTAATTGTGGCCACATGATGCGAAACTACTTGAGAGAAACTGGATAGTTAACCAAACTGTTGCAAGTTTGTGGGTTGGCTTGTTGTAATACAGTTGGAGTTGGTGTCGGCAGATATGTACATATCCTGTCTTACCTGTTGGCACACGAGGAGACCAAAGTTCCACAATAGAGTCCTTTGTGTTACCGATAGTATCGACAGAATTAAGATTGGAAAATTTTCTTCTTTTAAAAATTATTTTTTCTGTCGCCCTTCTACTTTCGTAGTCTGTTTGTTTCGTCCGTAAATGGATTTACACTCGGCTATAACTCTAAATTACTTGTCACTTTTGTCTTCGTCACTATTATCACAAGTGTAATAAGATAGATAGATAGATACACGTGACGTAACAGTCAGAAGAGTTGTCAGATTTATATAGGATTATCACATGATTGCGAAAATAAAATACATGTACCTTATCGAGTTCACCCGGGACTTGCAGGCAGGGGGTACGGAATACTCGTATGTAAAGAGAAAGTCTTGGCCCTTGCTTCTATTGAATTGCCTTTCCACACCCAATCAACCCAGTGCAACTCGTCTCATACATAAGAAAATGAGTTGACGTCCATGATTTAACCACAATCGAATCTAACACCTGGGTATTCGAATTATGTTCATCGTGTTATTGTTGTCATCGCTGAGTTACTAGTGTGAAACTTGAAAGTCTGAGTCTGATGAGCGAGCGTAAAGCATAAACATGACACTTGGGATTGCGAAAAGGGCTTTTTAGGCAGTTTGAGAGGGGTATTGAGTTTTATTATTACCTGCTGGCGGCACCTTGTGTCCCCCCCTTCGGTCAGACCGACATAGAGTCATTTCTATTACGCCGCTCGATTGACTTATTCACTCGAGTCGAATCAATCGGTCTTGTCGCACGGGCACGTAATGTTTATCAGCAGAGGATTAAGTGATGACATGATGGCGTAAGATTGGTGTATCATCATACCCTATCAGGTCCGTCGATTACTGAGAGATATATAATCTAGTTTAGACATGCAGCATTAATACCTTACCTACAGTAGGTACGATACATAGCTGTGTCCACGTTGCATCCTGGCCTCCATGCTTAGGTAGGTATTGAGAGTATCATGCGCCGAATTTCAAACTTTACGTGACGTCCCCCACCAGTGTTTAACTCGAGACTGGGAAATTGATGATCGGGTAGACGCGCAACCCGGCGATCGAAACTGTTATTTCTAGTACCTAGTACTATGAAGTAGGTAGGTAGGTAGGTAGGTAGGTAGGTAGGTAGGTAGGTAGGTAGGTAGGTAGGTAGGTATCATATATGTTAGGTATGTAGGTACCATAGCAGCAGCATCGTGGGGCCGATTGCATACTGCTCAATATCAATTAATGCTCATAGTTCCGGTTGGGGCTAAATGGATAGCAACGCTATAATTATTAGAAACGTCTACTAACTACTATTGCTCGAAGCTGGTTGGTGCTGACCCATGTTACTTTTTCTTTCGCGCAGGCATGTCATGTTGGAAGATAAGCGCGGCATAGCACCTTAACCTGCCTATTCTTGTCTCCAATGATCAGTAATTGTATCCACGGGCTAGGCTATTTAGTATACAAGACAGATTGACCCTTTAGTCCGTAGCATTCGATTAGAATACATGCGGTAAATAGCAATTGTTCAATCTCGTCTTTAGTGATAGCTAAGAGTTATTAATAGGGTTTCCTAACGCCACAGTATGCCATTCGAAATGTCAACGTCACAATGTAGCCAACATTTCTACCTCTCTTGTACTTAAGCTTTAACTACCTAACCTATCTACCTAACCTATCTAATCCATCTTGGTGGAGGGAAGACATGTCGTAGCTAAGAATAACGTCCTTCCCGTTTAACGCTTTTTAACTTGCGATCTATATAAACAAACGCGAACTTCGCACTCCTGCGCATGTAAAGTCGTTAGTTGTCGCCAAGCCGTGTCTAATACTCTTACCCAATTCTATCCCTACCTCCTCCCATCGACTCATTCACCTAAACCGAATAAGCAGCAGGTCTATTTACATAGACAATCTCTCATGGGAATCAAATGGAAACCTGATAGTTTTATCAGTTTTCTCTGCTTATTCCCGATGCGATGGATTTAAATTTGTCGGTGAAGGAGGATTGAGCAGGATTGATATTCTACTCATGGAAAATGCATGTTACACAATGCGAAGCGACTCTAATCCAGCCAGCCACACGCTCCTTTGATATACGACCATAGAAGCCTGCCTTTAGCTGACAAGATATTTAACAGAATAGGTAAAGGGGTAAGAGGATAGGTTACAATATAGATAGGCGATGCATTCGTGCGTAGCATTATATAAATGCCTAGGTCACACAGCCTGAGTAATAGCGGTCATGTATAGTGAATAGTAATAATAGTGTCAGCTCGTATATTCTTCCTCTTGGGGCTCTTGGGGCTCTTGGGGCGTCGCAAGTAGGTATTAAGTATTGGGTAGCCTTGAGTAAAGGTACCTAACCTACACATCAACTCATTAACCTGGGTTAGTATCTCTACAAAAAATTGTACGTGGCTCTGTACGAGCACGACATTTATTGGACTTCCAACTTCCATCTATCGATAGCGCACTATTAATTAGCTAAGGTTGGCAAGTGGGCTGTATTAGCACGTCACCAATCAGCTTAATCAAATCTCTGACTTGTTCTACCCCTAGTCGGGCCTTAGTTTAAGAGAGCCTGTATTGCACAATATTAACCCCCCCCTGCTCGGGTTTCCCTTGGGTCAGACAACTTTGATTTACAAACGCTTACTTTTGCCGGATGCTTCTCACACGATATCCATTCCCACCTTAAACATTTTTCCACCTTCAACCTTTTTTTTCTAACTAATTTTACCCTGTGCCGGAGAGACGACTCGATCTACGCAGACTTGTTATTATCTTTCCCCCTTCTCTTTGGGTTGGATAACTAGGTGCCTAATCTTCTTCTTCTCTCCCCCGTATTGCCAACTCTCATTTCCGCAACTCGCCATATTCTAAAACCTTGTTTCGGTAAGTCCTGCAAAACTACTCGTTCTCTTTTCTCCGCCGCGTATGCCCTTTTCCGTCCATCATAATTCGCGCGCCAATTGGACCGTACGGTCTCGGCAACTCGACAAGTGTCGTCAATTAATTTTATTTCAGATTTGTTGCTACGTGACGGTAAAAAAAAAGGTTGTTAGGCTTCAACATATTTTTATTTTCCACTCGAGTCCCTCATTAGTCTGTTGGTCGCACTTGGACCTTATCTAGAAACATACCATGCTGGTCTTTTTTATTTTTTTTTACTAACTCTATGCCTAGGATTAGATTAGTCTCTGCTACCTCCGCTCTTTGACTTCAAGGCTATCTTATCCCGCGCGGCTTATACACAAAGTAGTTTAGCTACAATCTCCACAAACTTGCCCGCCGGGTGGGGAATAGCCAACGAATAATCAACGAGTCTTGTTTCGCGTCTTGCTTCGAGCATAACGCTTCCTTGAGTCTTTACTCTCCTCTTTTGGAGATACTTGCGCATACCTAGTGAGTCCCGCTTTTTCTTGTTTCCAACACTTGGAATAACACAGTGGGCCTTGATTATAAGCAATCAAGTACTTTGTCATTGTCAAGTGGTTTCCTGTTCAATGAATAAGAGCAGGACCCTGACCGACTGCCAACTGAAGCCACGTACTGTGTCATGCCATTTCTGTAAAAAATTCTTCCCAAGCAATTGGTCCGTCCTTGTACTGTGCTTACAATTATACGCATGACAATGACCGAGTACCTTCCAGTTGAATTATTTATTAACAATATCGTAGATATTTAGGTGTTTACCAATCGCCGACATTTTCAGCTGCACCATTGCTAGTTCTCATCATAGCACTTTTAGATTTGCACGATTCGTCAACCATGGAAGAGGAGAATAAGAGATCGTTATCCCCCATTCGTGCCGAGGAGAAAGAGAGAGGGACAGTAGAACCTACTGTTGACGAAAAGTAAGTATACAATTTCTTAACATTCTACCTTGTGTCTATTTATTTATCTTCTTCTACTTGACTTTCAATCTCTATTATCACGAAGCTCTACCTATCCCCTTGGTATTCACATCGTTGCATCCCTCTTCGCCACTCGAGTCAATCTTTTCGAGAAAAAAAGGGGTTGTACACTTTTTTCACAGGTTTAGTACCCGTATTAGTTGCATCGTGGCTTCCCTTCGCCGCAACTTATCAGTCGTAACCCAAGTTGAGCCGCATTCGAATACTTTGACTGGCAACCCCTGCCCCACCCCACCTCATCCTATCACGATATTAATTTAGCAACCATACGTATTCTTTTTTCAGTGCACTTCCTGGACAAGTATATGCTAACATATCCCCAAGACGTGCTGTTCCTGTCCATCCCAAGCAGCCTACACCTTCGGAAGAAACTGTCCCTGCTGCCGATGCGACTGAAGCTGCAGTTCATGACGCTGAACTAAGCTCGCCTCCTGAGAGCAGCTCAGTATCCAGCGTTAACCCTGATATGCTAGGCGACGAGATTGTTGTTGGTACACGCGCTAACGGGAACAAATCCCCTGCGCGTCGAGTCGCTTCCGAGCGAGGAGACGTCGATATGCCTGACGTCGAGGAGGACGATGAGCCTGTCCCACATTACCCGAAGCGTAAACGCGCATCACTTTACAACAACCTTGGCGATGAAGAGTTAGAAAATAGTCAGGTCAAAGATGCAGATGATGTCGACGAGGGTTTAACTAAAGGGAAACCACGACAAAAATTTGACGAGGACAGCAAGCACGTGCCTGTTGGTTATTGGCGTTTATCCCCAGTCCCTCAAATAGAAGGAAAACATATGGTGGTCGGGTTTATCGATGTGCGCGATCGCCTACGAACGCGGATCAGGCCTAAGGCGCTAAACGGTGACCTTATTAACCTTCGATTATTCCCTATCCCTTCTGGTCCTGGTGGTAGCTGGATTACGTTTCCGGGCACCGTATTCTTGGACCATCTTATTGGAAGAGATCACAATGTGATCAAGGAGTATGTCAAAGTCCGAGCTGAGACGCTCCACGACCGCTCTAAGGAAGCCGACCAGGCCGCAATAACAGAAGCCCTACGTCGTCTAGAACTCAACCCCCCGCCTGAGACCCCCCAACCTCCTTCTATAGCATGGGGTCTAGATATACCCGAGCAGACACAGGCTTCTCGCCCTGAGGTAAAGCGTCGTCGTTATGGTAGTAGTGTTGGCACAATCGCCGAGCGCGCCGATCGTATCGAACAAGCTGAGCAGGCCGATAATGTCGAGCTTGTTGAGCGTTCCGAACGTCTTCCTATTATCCCCCACAATCAACCGGATATTCCCCAATCGCCCCGAAAACCGACCCGCATCCTCGTTGGCTGCTGGTCCAAGTCTACTGCGCAGAAAGATGAGGATAAACTTGCGGTCTATGGCATCTTGGGCGCCAATGATATGTTCCGTGTGAAACTTGTCCGCGAGACGATGGATGGTCGTTATACTGACGATAACTTCCCCAGTGGAGCAGGCGCGTTATGGATTTCGTACGACGAGGTCCTTTTTGTCAATCATCTAAAGCAACTTACCAGACCGGAGGTCAAGGAATATGTCCGCATTCGCCAGGCTCAGATTGATGCCGGGGAAAAGAGGGAAGAGCAAGTTGCGAATGAGACTAAAGCAGTTCATGAGGCTCAACTACGAGCAGCGGCGGTTTCAACAGCCAGTCCTGTCCGGGTGCCTAACCAGGGACATGCAGGTCCTGGCCCTTCGTCCGGTCTCAGCCGTGAGGATGTTCGTGACGGTCACGAATCGAGACAGCCCCGACGTGAAGTTGCGTCCCGAAACATCGAGTCAGTGCAATCAATGCGACATTCTCACCCGGAAGTGGAGATTAGACAGGCTAGTCGTAATACTAGTAACGATCCTATTGAGCGCGTTCAGGGTTATGCTAACCGCGAAGTTGCGAGAATGGAAGCGGTGCAAATGCGTACCGATCGCCACCAAGCCAACCGCAACTCTGTGGTAAATCCCGGAACCTTGATGAACGCGCATGATAACCGGCGCGACTTCGACGAGAATATCCTCAAGATGAACCAAGTTTGGGAGGCTCAAGAGAATATGAGAATGGGACCGGCTAGTCGCCACGGTAATGGAGATGTCATGATGCACCAAGGCATCAAGTATGAACGAAAACAGAACGGACCATTCAAAGATAGGCTTGTCAGCCAAGGAACTATCATCAACATCGACGGCGAAGATTACGTCGAATATCGCGTTCTTACGAAACCCTCATTTTTCTAGACTCATCTCCTCTTACGGCCTTTTCCGGTGTGGTTGGCCGATGCATAGATTCTGATCGGAACTCGTCACCCTCGCCGAGTCCGTCCTTTCTATATGCGCATAGCATTCTATTATCTGCTTTCGGAGTTGTCCTTCACGTTTACGACACATTGTCTTTCCGCATTGCTTAGAATCAACCCCGATACCAAACTTCTATTTCCAAGGAGCATTAACGACGCAAGGTCAAACATGCCCAAGTGCATATGAAACAACCTTTTTTCTAACGAGGACTATAAGTTTTCGGCATTTCTTTTTACGAGGACGGCGTCACGGAGGGAAAAGAAACTTAATTAGTTGATGATTTTAAGTTGACGCGCACGAGACGCGCAGCCACTCCCGTGTATAATATTAGGTTTCACGGATGACAACCCTCTGATTGAGGAGAGGAGGAGAGGAGGGGAGGAGGACGTGCGGCAGCACTGAGGTCTTGATGCAGGCGTTCGGTGGCGCTCGCTTGTGGCTGTGCAATATTGCTCTATGAAACCTGCGATGATTTCTAATACGAACCGTTTGCATTACGTGCTTTACTTCTTCATGTGCTCATAGTCGCTGTTTCATTACTTCTAACAAAATGGTATTAATACGAACCCAATACCCCTGAGTACATAGGGGTTTCTCTCCTTGGGGAGCTTACATTCAATTCTACGAGTTCTTGAATCTGGAGAAACACGTGAAAAGACTCTTCTCAATCAGCGTATTTGATACACGGTCAAGTGTAAACCATCGTAATTTTGTTCTAATCCGAACTACCTTCATGACCACCTTTTAGGTACCCATTCCTATCTGATATCAAAGTCGTTTAGGTACTATGTATTAGACCTATCAGTCCTAATGCCTTGCTATTCCATCCCTGAATTTCTTTTTGTTGCTTCCGCTTTGTTTTGCCATAGTATGATCGATTTTAACACCAACGCAGAAAATTGCAGGTTTACCTAATACATAGGGAGGTACGCAACTGCATTCATAATTCCCTTCCCTTCCTCCTCCTGCCTCATCCCAGCTTTACGTGCGTACTAGTATCCTTCGTGGCGACTTGGGAGGAACCTCGTTATTCCAGTAGTTTCAACAACAGGAAGCCGAGCGCAGAGATAATGAAACCAACAAATACAAGACTTGGGATGCTGGGTGACGAGCCTTCCTGATTGAGCACAACGTACCCAACTCCTTGCATAATACCTTGAGGCATGATGTTCATGTGTCCATAGCAAGTGATTTCTTGCATTATAATCGGCGTCGTATTGGACTCTCGGGTACGTGTGGGCTGTAAAAACGCTGAGTCGGCACTACGCGACCTTCGTATCAACTGCTGGCGGCGTGGGGTGTCTGGAACATTGAGGTTTGACATCATGTATCTATTGCTTGTGGATGAATGCATTGCTGAGGAAGGCATACAAATAAGTTGCTTAAAGACTTTCGTAACGAGACTTGTGGTTGCTTCCTCGATAACCTTTTTTGCAAGTGGCTTGAAAATTGTCTCCAGGATTGGTATCCGCAGGGCAACAACATAACCTATAGGAAACCTTTTTTACAGCATTGTACCGCAACATATTGAAAGAGGGGAAAGATGGGGCCATTTGGAACACACAAAAATATCCTGTTGAATAGAAATCTGCTCACATCTTAGCTCCATTTAGATAGATCTTATTATTCAGCAAACAGTTTATACCACCATTCATAAAGCTACTTTCATCCCATCTAGGATCACATGGTAATGGTCGGGTCGCACACTTCCAGCATCTTCGCTATACTAGTTGCCTAAAAGCCCTCCATATATTCTCTTTATTCGCTTAGTTAAATGCTGCCCATGGCGTCCCGAGTACCTTGCCCTTGTCGTCTAGTCTTATACCCTCCCCACGAAGAAGCTTCCGCTTCTCGTCGAGAGTGATGCCTTCGCCGTCCTTAGGCCACTTTCCCTTGAACCCACCTAAGGCACCTCCCGTCGCCACTACCCGGTGGCACGGCACTTCTGGCGCGAATGGGTTCCGCCGCAGCGCGTTCCCTACAGCCCGTGGGGACGACCCTAGATGCGCCGCGAGCAGGGCATACGTTGATACATGACCACGAGGTATTTGACATAGAAGGCTCCACTGCATTAGAGGGTATAGATGTCAGCGAGCTTTCGTATTTCATATCATGTCTCGGCTCTCTTAACTAGCCTATATGATATGGCACGTGAAGGACAAAACGAAGAGGAGATGTTGGCCTAGGATATCCCAAAGACTCACCACTTTCTTCTCGAAGGGCGTACGGTCTGATTCTGCAATGCGTTGTAATTGGGGCTCCATATCTTCGGGAACAGAAGTAGATTCTTGAAGCGCGACGTCATTAGGGACAGGCTTCGCTATCTTTTGCGGTAGAAGTATAGTGGCGTCTACAGTCTCGCCAGTGCGCTTCCGCTTTACGCCCACGGCCATAATGCTTTCTTACTCGTTGATGATTTGAAGTTGGGAGATTGGCTTTGAAGATAGTAGATGTAGTCGAGGATACTTTTTAATATGCAATACTGATTTCACTTTGGTAGAATTTAGACAAGTTAAGGGACGATAAAAAGGGACATGTTCAAATTTGGGATGCTAAGAAATTTATTATAAGGTATCTAGGTTCTAGGTTAGGTAGGTAGGTAGGTATGTAGGTAGTGAGAAGATGAGGAAATGAGCGCCTGGTGACTCATTACGCGATGTCACTAAAAGGGCGCGTCTGCCCCTCGTCTGACATCACAAAGACGCCACGCCAAGTCACATGATTAGCCTCCCTAGGGGTTACGGATGTCCCCGATTCGATAAGATAGTTTAGGTAGGCATGTAGGTACATTAGGTTAAGGTACCTAACCTATTTTTTATACCTATAAGAGTACTTTACGAAATAGTCAACTAGTTCATCAGCAACTTCTTCCCGAGTTTCGGTTATCTTCGCTTCAAGATCCGCGTGTGTTTTCTTCGAGAAGTTAATATTTGGGTGATGGATTAAGAAATCAAGCATGTCTAGCAGATTTCTACGCCGTCGTGGGTTGTTAGAGTGCTTTAATATAAGGTACTTGTAGCGACGAGCCCGCTTTCGCTCGATGCTGGTATGCTCCAATAAGGGTTTAACGAGTGGAAGAAAAACATCTGACTGTAGTAGTTTATCGAAATACTTATCAGCAATATTCAGTTTTTCTTCAGCTGATAAATTCTTGATTAGGAATAAAGCATTAGACGGGCAACGAAACTTAATTGCGGTCCCAATAGGACAATAACCACCATTGTCGACATCATTGATGCTATAACCAGTACTGAGCAACAACCCAAGGGTCTCTTCGTTGCCCTCGGTGCTGGCTGCAAAATGCATGGGTGTCAATCCCGTGTCACCTAAGTGGCCTTCATTTCTCGGAACTTGGTAGCCTCGAGTTTGCAGTATTTTGATGACCGATGGCAGTTTGCACACGGCGGCCAAATTTAGTGGCGATAATGTACTCGTACTCGGAGTCTCCTGGGGATCCTCAAGATCTGGCATAAGACGAGCTAGGGTCTCGGCAATATGCACATGTCCATAGAGCATAGCGATATGGAGTGAAGTAGCGCTAAATTCTTCGTTTAGCAAAAATTTGGATAATGGAAGCTTTGTGCAGGGGCCTATGTCAGTATCTAATGTGATCGGCGCATCAACCCGAGGACAGGCCTTTATCAGCTCCTGAACTATCTCGTCTGCACCATATGTAGCTGCTAATTGAAGCGGTGTCATTCCGCCCATTTTTCCACTCTTGACGTGGAGGTAGTCTGGCCAATATGCCAGCGCTGCCTTGATGGACTTTCGAGCTACCGTCATATCAACACTACCATTGTCTTTGACAGCCCAGTGAAGGGCTGACCTATCCAAATCATATAGACTGCGTAACATGGCATTCATAGACATAGAGCCGGGGAGTATATACCAATCACTAGCCTGACGCCTATACTTAAAGACTCTTTCCCGAACCATAAGTACGTCAGCTCTATAGAGCAATGGATCCAGAGCCCCACAGTAGAGGCGACATGTTTTTGATAAGCTGATAATAACCCTCGTTGTGTGAAAGTTGCTCCTGACTATACGGAAAATAATATCACCCGAAAGCGTAGGTGATCTGGTTGGGTGGCTGGGAGAATGTTCGGGGGACCTAGGGGACATCATGGTACAGAATGAGTGATTAAATAAATCGTATGCTGGAGAATCAGAATATAACCCTTTTGGATGGCTTCCCTGAGAGATTAGATGGGAGTTATATCTATTGAAAGTGAGGGGACATCTTATATTATACTTGGTATCAAGTTATAAGATCATAGTATTTGTTGTTAAATTATAGGAATTGTTCAGGTACATATGCTTTCAAAGAAAAAACAGTTCGAGCACACGGATTGTTAAACATAAAAAGAAAATAAATAACAAAGGAATGATTTATACCGGGATAGAAACAAGAGCAAACAACCCGTTTTAGGGAGTTTGAATACTGAATACGAGAGAATTAACCAATTGCCAAGGTTAGTGTTATAGAAGTAACTGCCCAGAAAAACAACTTAATGATAGGTACATGTTAATCTAATCTGAGCTCAGAGCCGGAGAGTTAACCTTTATCATTGGTATCTACCTAAGGTACAAATATATGTAGAGAAGACGCAATATAGGTGGGGATGTGTCTTGAACTTGTTGCTGATCACCTTCGGGGGGATCGAATACGGTTACTAACCGGCTTCACCCTACCTAATCCAGCAATCGGTTCAGCTATGCGGGATATACCTAGGTGGACATTAACTTTCTGATAGGTGCTTGTAGGTACTTATACATCACTTCAAGAACTAGTAGAGCCAGTCATTCATAATCTCATTACCCATTTCTAAAAGACAAGGGCTTTGCTGAGAGCTGAAAGGCTGGGGTGGCTGAAGTATTGACAACACGGGCGTAGGGAGCCTATCCGCATGGCTCTACTACTAGACTACCTTACTTTGGATACTTACTCCGAGGAAGATATACCCAACCTTATATTAATTTCCGGACGCGCATGGCCACTCGGGATCTCCGGCGTGTAAACGCAATTAAATAGCGCGGTTTGGGGAACCTTTTAATGTAGTAGGGACCGTCAAACTGCAAGAAACTATATTTGGTATGAGGTGACATTTGTGGCTTGAGTAAGACAGTATCTCGCGAGTACATACCATAAGATATACGTTGATGAGGCTCCAAAGGCAGTGATAACCTCGGTATTTAAAAAAAACATTTTCCTTCTGCCGAGAGTTGGAAAAGCAACTAAACAAATTATAGTGCTTGAAATCAAAGGTTCTATGCGCGCAGCGTAGTAATGTTACTCATACGTTGATTAATGCTATCCCCAAGCTGCATTGCTTTAATAATCGAGATGGTGGAAGACTTGCGAACGGCGAATTGGGGGCCAACGGCAGCGGGAATGGTGATAAGGGGACCAGTACTGGTGGCCTATGCAAAAGCACGCATGTAATGCAGCTGTGGTGCTACATTATAAACTTAATATCAACTCAGCCTCCTCCGCTTTATAAGAAGTAGCTGCTTAAACACGTCAGCAAAACATGCACTTTTCACCGCCATCGACGTGAGCATGGAGTACCCCAAGATGCAAGTAAAGCTTTACCGAAAGTTTCGAGCAGATAGATAAGATAGCGATGAATCCCCGGGAAACTTATTCCCATGTCATCGTGGCTGATTCTATAAAAGGGCTTTGCTTAAATGGGCTCAGAAATTAGAAAGACAATAAGATATCATTCTTAGACTCCCTATTTGTTTGATAAGCACCAGTTGTGTTTCGACATGCTGGGATGCCGTACGAAGCCGGCGGGATGTAAACCGTCAGGGTGTCATACTAAACCGGCTCCTTCTAAATCAACGCCATGCAAGTCGATGCCTTGTTTTATAAGATCGACAACTACATGCCATACAAAAAAGGTATGTGATGCACCGTGTTGTAAGGTAGAGGCGGAGCGAAGGGACCAAGTCTCCTCCAAGCATTGCAAGAAACGTAAGTAGCCTTTATGTCATATTCGACGAAGGATATGTCAAAATGTTCTATGACTTACGATAATTCAAGACACATGCGAGCACTTTTGGGAGCCACTGTTCGACGCAGAGCGCTGCCAGAATTACAAGCAGCCAGAAGATTCGGTCTGTTCTCAACGTGAGTGAAGTGTGCCCTTCGACGGTAGAGACTTATGTATCTGACTGGTATATAGACATAGAATGTATAACAGTAGGTTGTATGAATGGGAGGATGCAGTACTACGATCGAGGCCGAGCTGGGACACCACAATACAAGCGTCGGAAGTACTGCTTCGATCGTAAGACTCTTTATAAATATTATAAAGAAGTTGTTGATGCTGATTATTGATAGACAAGTGTACTGCAACGGAGTGTCCTAACCAGCGCGCCCCTATGCTGGCCCCAAACCAATACCGCCCGTTCTGTGATGACCGTGAGCTGTGACCTTCAACAAGATTCGCAAGACATGCTAAAATGTTTAAAGATAACTGTCGTGCGGCTGATTGCCCTAATCAGGCTCTGGAAGGCACTACATGCTGCCGAGGGCGTAAGTGAGATATGATATACCTTAGATACCTATTAAACGAATCTCAGCTCCTAACCTGCTAGATAGATAAGTGTCAGATTCGGGATTGCATGCATATAGCTGCCCCCCCGTTTCCATTTTGCCTAGCACGTAGGTCTTATATTTCCGTATGAGAGCAATTTGTTTGATTAACCCAACTGGCTAGACAATAGATGTGAATGGGGGCCGCCGAGCTGCAACCGCCCCAAAGAAAGGAACAGGAAATATTGTAGGGAGCGTAAGTAAACTACCTCGTTATGCCTTCCTCCTATTGGTAATACTTACAGGGATTAGACCTTCAATGTCAGACTCCTGGATGCGGGCTGCAGAAGATAGAAGGTTCATTTCACTGTATGGAACATGCGTGTCGTGAAAGGGGGTGTAATATTTCGTCTGGAGAACATGACTATTGCGATGATCGTAAGCACATATCTATCTTGCTTCGGGAGGAAATGAGAGATTGATCAAAATCGTTACTAGATCGATGCGAATTGGAAGAGGGATGTGAATATGCGAAGTCAGGAGAGCGCTATTGTCCGCTCCGTAAGTGTTCCCTCTATTTCCTTCGGAGTCATTCTATATATTACTGTAACTAACCATCTGGCTAGATTCTTGCAAGAGTGAGGGTTGCCCAGAGTGCGTCAATTGTACGGGGATATTTTGCGATACCCGTAAGAATGATCTGTCTGCTGAACGTGACTAGACCACTGACTAGCTACCTCTCTTAGATGCTTGCTCACGGTGCGGCTGTAAAGTCGAAGCTAAGCCATGCTTGGAAAATAAATGTTACGACCGTAAGTTGCCCCCCTGAGATGTAGATGATAATATTTTAACACCTCTATAGATTGGAAAGAGGATGTTGAGATGTGTGTAAGGGCAGAATGGTGTGATGAGAAGAGGGGACTGACTCAGAGGCTTAGCGAGAAGGATCACTTTATCCAAGAGCAGGATAGGCGTCTCCGGGAGCAGCATGATCAACTCTGGAGGTTACAGAGCGGTCAGAGGAATTAATACTCATCTTGTATGTGAGAAATGGTTTCTGGGGAATCTCGCCTGCATAATTTAGGAGAACTATCCCGATGCACGGGCAGGTATTGACGGCAAAGTATAGTGTAATCATCTGTTAAATATGAGAATCCTGCCGGAATTAAGAACTGTAATAGCATGGTTTGGAGATATACTTCATTCTTGATCTTGGATTACGATACTATAGAATGCAGTAGCAATGAAGACAAGGCCCCATCCGGCACTGACCCTGGGTATTTGGATTACTAGGTGTGTATCAAGCTCTCATTAAATACATCGCTGGTTGATAGCACAAGCATATCCGTGCTTGTACTCGACGACCTATCATGACAATAACAGTAGTATAACTTTCTCCTTAACCCCCTGCTTAATCACCAGTGTCGACTTCCAGATCGAGCTGGACTCCGTTGCTAATTTCATAGTCGGCAAGCGTAAGCATGTCTTTGAAAGGCCGTTGTCCTTGTCTCTTGAGCAAGATCTCGTGGGGCTCTCGACCGATGCGCGCCGCGACCATAATTTTGAACTCCTTAATGCGATCCGAAGCAAAGCATGGGATAGCTGCCTTGGTACCCAGTCGGTCGTTGATATGGACGATAATCATTTCTTCGCCACCGCCGGAGGGAGCTGCGGGTGCTCGAACAGGAGGCTGGGAGGTGTCTCCGCCGGTAGATTTTGACTTTGATTTCTTAGTAGACGAAGATGCTCCCGAATCACGTTCGCGATCACGGTCCCGATCTCGATCTCGGCGACGTGGGGATGGTGAGCGGTTTCGGTAACCTCTGAATGAGCCACCACGTCGGTCATCGTCTCTGTCTTCAAATTCATCGCGACGCTTATCCTTAAACTTAAAGCCCCCAAAGCTCTTCTTTGGTCTGGGCCGGTCTCGATCTCTGCCCTCACTCCTATCTGTATCTCTCCGGTCTGAGTCTCTCTCCCCGCGATTGTCACGTCGTCTTTCCACGTCTCGTCCTAACCGGTCGGGATCGTCTTTGTTCTCATCATTTCGGGTTCTCCCAGGCTCGTATCTTGTACCCCGACTCCTATCATCATCCCGCGATCGATAATTGTCGCTTCTTCTGTAGTTATCTCTGTCTAATCTGTCGCGGTGGCTATGTGGTGATTGGCTTCGATCGTCGCTTCTACTCCGTTTGCGAGGGGGCGGTGAATCGCCTCGTGGGGCGCGAGGAGATGCAGATTTGTCTGCCATTGAGATTGGCAAATGTTTGTGGGATTTTATGATTATAATTTTTTTGTTGTCTTGGTTGCGTAGTTGGAAGGTTGACGCGAAAAAAGATACAGAATTGATAATGAGATGTTAGGTACAAAGTACCTAGGTAAATATGCATGAATACAATATATACATATCTCTTATATGTATACTACTTGATAGGTACATAATATGCATAAAGAAATTGATATTTTATGGATCAGGTTGTTACCCCTTTTTACCCCTTTTCTACATCACTGTATTCTCTAGTAAAGATAGATCTGGATTATCTCTACTGCTGTATTTACCACTATATTACAACTCTCTTTTTCTCATTCTTTCTTTATCAACCTAACCGGTCCCCGACCGCAACTAGTCTCTATGCGCCATCTTTATCCCAAGTAGCCGCCTGGTTCTCCGGTTCTCCGGTGACCATGTGCCTGTGCAATAGTCCGCGACCCTTACCAGCTTTAGAGCCTCCAGCTTGGGGAAAAGGCGGTTCGGAGGAGATTCTTCTATTGCGAAACCTAATTCACGAAGAATTCTTATGTCGTGACTCAAATAGTACTTCCTCTTCTTCTTCACACCCAGGCCTTGCGCTCTCTCTGGCTTCCTACGGGCGCAGCAATCTACTCGGCTAATATTGAATCTCAAGCACGTTGTATTGGTGAACGTGCGGCCGAGGAAATGCCAGATATGTTTCCAGTGTGATTTATATGTGCTGCCATCGTGAATATCTATTGTGATCTCAGTCGGTCTCCGTAGAAATTCGTTTGATATCTTTGTGACCTTGCTCCAAGGTCTCACATTACACTTGTTCTCGTTGAATCGATAAACCCCGTCGTAATAAAGCCAGTGGTCATCGTTGTTCCAATCCTGCAAGTAAAGATTTGCGAAACAGGAAACACCGGAGTAAGTCCTTTCCTCGCCGATGCAATCTAATCCTTCGCCTTGAATGACTATGGTGTCCAACTTGGGACTGAAAGGAAAGCTATTTTCCTGGGGAAAACCATAGTACGATATGGCCAAATTCCGGAACGCTCGACAAATCTGGAGAACCTTTAATTCGGCCCAGGCCCGGGGCTTATAGAGGATTAACTGTGTTGAGGTATTTTGACGATAGTGGATGCGATAGGTGTGGCGACAGAGCCTAAGGAGGTCTCCTTTTAGCTCATAAGAGCCTACAGCGTATTCGAAAATATACTGAAAAACATCACACGGCAAGTCAAGAAGTTCCAGTGTCCTTTTCCTTGGCATTGCAGGAGCCCCGTGATTTTGTTTTCCGTAGACGACTTTGGTACGTGATCTGCATTCGCCTGTGAACAGTACTCTCTGTTTAAGAGTCTACAGAAAGGTTAATACTTGTATTTAGGTTTTGTAATATCGGATGCTCAAACTTACCCGAGATTCTAGGATTTGTTTCCAGGAATAGAATGTTTGTCTAACATGGCCCATCAATGTAGGTTTGAAGCCATCTCCCACATAATATTGAATGCTGGCGCGATTTATTGGGTGATATTGAGAATTGGAATTGCACTCATCAACGCACTGAAGGAATGGAATAATGCGCTCTAACGTATCGCTCCAGGGTTCTTGAAGTTGAGTGTTGACAGGGACTTTAAATGTACGCCCATGCTCGTACTCGTGCTGAAGCTCCATTGTAATTAATAGAGTGTGGTTGTTAGGATATAAAGGGCGCGTAAAATAAAATATTTAATCAATGAGGTAGGTAGATAGCCCCTTTTAACCTGGGCAATCTTGTGCAATGGAAATGCCGAAAATCTCGCGGAATGGGCTTTCTTTAGGTAAGATGTAGCCAAATCCAAATTGTCATGCACGAGATATTGCTCACGCTAGAGTAGGATGGTCAATCACTTAGAGAGAGCAGTAGAAAGCCGCTGGGTTTGAACTCGTTGTGATGCAGTTGCAATGATGAATCTGACGTCTTGATAGATTGTGTCCCAGAATACCTGAGGTAGGTTCGGAATATGTGAAGAATAGTAAATAATAGGCGTGATTTCTCCCAGATATTGTATTGTCACCCAAACATGGTTTGTGTTGAAATAAAAGACGCAATGTGTTATGTTCGTTACTGGCGAATAAAAAGCCATGATCTGGAATCCCTTCCATGGCAACGGTAACTGCGATAGCAACGTTATCGATGTTATGCGAGTCATGGATCTTTTTGTGTGGGCTTGTTACTTTGGATGATAGCGACAAAAAAGGCCATGACGGTGTCGGTTTCTGGGTCTTGTACACTTTTCATGAGGAAAAGATGATACACTCCTTGTCAGCTGTTCCTGTTACAGAGGCATAGCATTAGAGAATAAAACTTGTAATTTTCGTGACTCATCATATTAATTCTAGAAATAAATGAGATTTGATTTATATCCTTCGAAGGGTCATTGCTACCCAGCTATACAAACAACGGTGGTACAGAATAGGGCGTAGTGTTATTACTATATTGTAGAGGCCTGCGTTTAGTAATATCTTATATCATAGGCTGACGCTTCAGGGGCTACCTCATATAATGGACATTACTGACAAGTGCATCTAGTAACATAGAGTATTATCAGGTTAGTTAGTTGTAAATAAGTTAATATATCACTTCGGCTTTACATGGGAGCGTTTTGGCTCGATGGAGGCGTAAATATTATGATCTTGGTACTTTATTATGCAAGCATTGGTGTATTTGATGGAGCAGATAGTTTCGTTATAGGAATGCCACAACGAGAAATCCTATGCCGTGACGAAATACGAATACACCTGGATTGAGACTTTTAGTAGCTAGGTATGTACTACGAGCAAAGAAGCTAAATCTGACGTGACTCCTGCTTCATTTCGTTCAGAAATTTGTCCAACTTATCTCCATTTCACACAACATTAGTAGTTTGTCACTTAGCATTGGCCATAAGAATAGATGAAAATACCGGCTCAGTACCGCTAGTAGGATCCGCGATACCAGGTAAGGGAATTTTGAAAAGATATCGGATGAATGCTGCTATTCAATACATTAAAACTATATTTGCGATACCATACCCACATGACCCCTTAATTGTTCTGGTGACTACATATCTTGTTGCTAGGTGACTTTCCCATCTTTCTCGAGGCATTTTCAATGTATATTTAGACGCGCGACATTCACCTTTCTTCACTTAAGGGGCCCAATAGACTGCATATATAACTGATCCTTCTGCTCTTTTGCTTTACTATACATTTATTCCTTCGCGGTCAACTAGAAAGGGGTTGAGATCAGATAATAACTCAATGAGCAGCCTAAGCGCATCTCGTTAAACGACATAACCATTTCCAGGTTTACGCAATAATTTGGGTGCTATTTCGCTTGAAGGACACTCCTATCAATTAAAGGTATCAATTTGTGTAAGCTATTTCCCCGAGCATCATCACACTTGATAAAATGGCTACGCCGATCCCTACTGTACGTATACCTATTTCTCCAACTGCATTATTATCCTTCTGTTCAAGGGCTGTAAAACCTATTCTATGGAATGCCCCGAAGGAATTAATTTAACAATGCTTTTGTAGTTGGAGCACCGATATTTCGAGCCGTCTGAGCAGTTGACAGGGGCTGCTAACACCTCCCGAAAGACGAATCGATTTAATGGAAACTACCGAGGAGACCGTAATTTGTCCACAAATAAAGGCGCTGATATCCCCGAAGAAAAGAATACTTGTTTGTGGATTACTGGACTACCTGGACCGATTACTGTCCCTAAGCTCCTTGCTGCAATCACCAAGACGGGCAAGGTTCGTTCGACTGTAATCAACGGCCCTAACGAAACCAGTAGTACCGCTGCGGCATCTATTAGCTTCTTCAGACGGGAAGATGCCGAGGTGCTTTTCAATGCAATACAGCAAGGAAGAATCATATTTGAAGGCAGGTTCCCAAGAGTGCAATGGAACAGAAATAGGGTTGGAGAAGAGGGTGCTCCTAGCTATGCTAGCCGTGTGCTTCTAATTGCCGGAGATCCACAGGTCGTTAATCGAGACTACTTGGATGGGTTTTTCTCAAGCAAGTTCGTGTACGACATCGATGATATAATCGATCACGGCACGGTGTCTGGGTTTGAGGGTCCTATCAGCCGACTCGAGTACCGTTTTGGATCGTGGCGTTCACAAGCTTCCTTTGCTCGTCTAGCACTCAATCTCGAGCTCAGAGGATTTTTACTAGCGGAATACGGCGAGGATCCCTGTGCGGTCTAATGACATACTGGTTTAATAATTATATTCCAGTAAAACTGGCTCTCGGACGCGATGTTTTCACCTGAAATTTGGGCTCCTTATTTTATTGCTTTAACTTCAACCGAAGCTTTGACCCGCGCTTTACGATAGAAGAAGTGCCTTTGTAAAATTATATGTGAGCATAATAAGCTAAATTTTCTTGGATTTTCAATAGTTCGGTATATTTGACGAATTGATTTCTTGAATACTGATATAGTATCTTTTTATGCTAAACTGAATTACTAGGCTGACTGAAAAGGGGAAGGATCTTAATCTCATGATGATGGAAACAACTATCGCCCTGAACATCAGTCTAATTGCTAAATTGACTATATATGGATATAAGAATTTGTGCTGCTTCTTTCTCTTCAAGGCTGATTTTCGGTATGAGCGATTCTAATGACTCATTAGAGACCGAAAAATCCTCAATATTTTGAGAGATAGGAGTGCCTGTCATCTCCACTTCAATATGCGGCGATATGCTATCTGTTATAGAATCTTCTCTCTCAGCTTCTTTGCCCTTGGGTTGTAATACTTTCCGACTTAACGCTTGCTTTAATTCAAGTCTCCGTCGAACCGCCCTTCTGGCATAATTCCTTCGAGAACGGGCTAGATGCTCCTCGCAATACACATGCGAGCCTGAAACTGGATTTGAACATTTGACACAGATCCCGGAATCTTTGCGTTTATAATAATTCTCAGAATCAAGAGCCAGATGCTCATCACATTGTACACGTCCTTCCGCGACTGGGTTTGAACATCTAGTACAAATGCCTGCAGCTCTGCCCTTATATCCCTGTGAACGAATACTCCCAAGAGCCAGGTGCTTATCACATTGTACACGCCCTTCCGCAGCTGGGTTTGAACATTTAGTACAAATGCCTGCAGCTTTGTTCATATCGTATTTGTCCTTTAACCTTTTCCGTGAATAACTCTTCTGAAGAGCCAGATGCTTATCACATCGTAAACGCCCTTCTGCAGCTGGGTTTAGACATTCAACACAAATTCCTGCAGCTTTGTGGCTATCGTATCTGAGCTTTGACTTGTCAGGTGAATTAATCCTATCAAGAGCCAGATGCTCATTACATTGTACACGCCCTTCTGCAGCTGGGTTTGGACATCTAAAACAAATACCTGCAGCTTTGCGGCTATAATAATAGTTGTTATCCTGATTGTACCTTGACTTTGCCAGTGAACGATGCTTATCACATTCTATATGCCCTTCTGCGGCTGGATTTAAACATTTAGTACAAATGCCCGCAGCTTTTCGCCGATAATAATATCGCATGTTTTTCGTATTCGCCTTAGCTGCGTGGCCTGGACAGAAAACATCCCCGGCCTTTATTTTCTTTTGGCAAATATCTACTATGCATTCTGTAGACTTCTCGTTAGGCTTGGGGGCTATTGGTGCGGTTGATTTTGATTGTTTCCTCGTGATCGCCATCTTGGTTGTCGCTGTAAATGTTGTGATGAAAGTACAAATAGCTTGGTACACAGGAATAACCTTCTAGTAGGAATGCCTCTATATATCCATATTATTAACTTACGTATGATAGGGTGTTCAATGGAGTTGTATGTGTATGTTAAGAAACAATGGATTGTTTTTTCGCGGCGAAGCAAAGAACTTGTGGGTTATTACAGTAATACAAATAACTTGATATTATAATATCCTAAAAATTTGAATAGTTTGAGATAGTAGAGTCCCGAGGATATGGAACATTGCGGGGATTGTTTTGATTGTTCTTATGTTGATTGTTACTGTTTTTTCATTGTGAGATGCTGGATTCTGATATGCATACCTTCCCTAGGTACCTCTCTACGTCCAATTATATCGATCGCAGATCTATTTGGCTTTTAGAACTATCTTATCACCTCCAATAAAAGCTTATTGCGCTCCATGTTCTCGTATAAGTATTAGTTCAGGTACGGCTTTCCCCTTTCCCTAATGCGGAAGGATAGCTAACATCCTTGTTGGTGGTACTCTGCGGGCGCATCGCTAACGAAAAAGGGAAGGTCGTTAGGATGATGGAGCACGCGATGGTGCCGGCTTGCTGGAAGATAAGCTGCAGTGGGTAGGTGGATCATGTAGCTAACCAGGGACGAGGTAATATAAAATGTGAGTTACTTCCGCGGTCCTAGGAGAGAGAAGAGAGGAGAGATCTTTACAGCTCACCTCCGCAGGTGCCTGGAACCACATTCACATTGCCAAGATGAAGTCTCCCGTGTGTGTAGTCCAGTTATTGCTGGCAGCTGGGGCCTCCGCCGGCTTTATGAAAAATAAAGCTGGCATGCAAATCGGTCCAATTGACGAATTCAGCATCCTAGCAGCCAGCAATGGCACCGCTGGTTGGGGTACTTTCCCTCAGCTGCTTGACCATTCTAATCCTGATCTCGGCACTTTCGAGCAGAGATATTGGTATGGAACGAAGTACTGGAAAGGACCTGGGTCGCCAATTATTTTTGTCAATCCCGGCGAACAGGCAGCTGATAACTTCAATGTGTCCTATACTACGAGCCAACGTCTCACGGGACTTCTAGCGGAGAAGCTCGGCGGTGCAGTTGTCATCCTTGAGCACAGATACTGGGGCGAATCGTCTCCCTTCGAGAGTTTAACCACCGAGAATCTCCAATATCTTACACTTGAGAACTCTATTAAGGATAATACCTATTTCGCCAACAACCTCGACACACCTTTTGACAAGACTGGGAAAAGCAGTGCAAAGGATGCGCCTTGGATCTTCACTGGTGGATCTTACCCCGGTGCATTGGCCGGATGGATTGCTGCCAAAGATCCTGGTACGTTCTGGGCGTATTACGGTACTAGTGGGGTGGTGGAAGCCATAGGCGATTTCTGGCAATATTTCGTCCCTATCCAAGAGGCGACGCCTAGCAACTGCAGCTCTGATTTAACTACCGTCATCGATTACGTCGACTTTGTTCTCCTGAGTGGTGGCCCTAAGGAGAAGGCTAAGTTAAAGAGCAAATTCAAGCTAGACAACCTGAAGGATGCTGATTTTGCCGCTGCTCTTGAGAATGGCCCATGGACGTGGCAGTCAGGACAGTTTTACTCGACGACGATTTTGGGATATAACCCTTACTACCAATTCTGCGATTATATCGAGAATGTTTGGCCCAATTCTACTAATCCCGTGCCTGGTCCTAAGGGGGTTGGCTTGGCTAAGGCCCTAGACGGTTACGCAAAATGGTTCACAGAAGTCGAGTTACCGGGAACTTGCGAAAGCTACGGGTATTTCAAAGGCGAAAACAATACGGACTGTTTCCAGTCGCTGAATGCTTCCAACCCGATCTACCACGACCTTTCACCACGCAACGCTGGGAACCGTCAATGGAACTGGATGCTATGCAACGAGCCTTTCGAATATTGGCAAGATGGTGCCCCGGTCGGTCGTCCTAGCATCGTCTCACGCCTTGTTAACAAAGCTTACTGGCGCTCGCAATGCCCACTTTGGTTCCCCGAGCTAGAGTACGGTATTGCCAAGGGCAAGTCTGCTAAGGATGTGAATAAATATACCGGTGGTTGGTTCGAGAGCAACGTGACCCGCCTAATGATGACCAACGGTCAGTGGGATCCATGGCGTGATTCAACGCTCAGTTCCAAGTTCCGCCCTGGCGGTCCCAAGGAAAGCACCCCTGAATTTCCCATTCGAGTTCTAGAGCAGGGTACACATTGCTCTGACTTGTATGGCCAGAACTGGGCCGTCAACCCCGGTGCTAAAGCTATTGCCGATGAGCAGGTTGCCAACATGGCAGAGTGGGTGCAGGAATTCTATGACCAAAAGAAGTAGGTCAGAGTATACGTATGATAGCCGTAATCAGTAATGACTTAATGCAATATGGCTTAGATCAAAGGATCCCGCACTTTATGTTTACGATAGCTTCATTAATACAACGCGGGTTTCTTTTTCTAAAACTGCTTTATGCTGTCTACCTACACATCTGCGATGTCATTCGCCCGTTCTTCCTTGATGATTCTCCTCTGCATGTTCTTCGCTTCAACACCAGCCTTCCGCGGGTTCTTCGCTTCGAAAATCGCGTCCAATTCTTCGAGAGTCATTCCCTTGGTCTAAACCCAAAAGAAATACATAAACACCATCTCGAAGGTATCCCAGAATACGAAGAACACGTAAAATCAATAACCAATCGAGCTGAGGGCGATGGGACCGACGAACGTGTTCAAGAAGCCGGCCGCCCCAGCGGTTAGTTTAAACGTCCCCATTGCTTTGGCCCGCATCTTGTTTGAACCACTTACTTGGAATATAGCAAACACAATTCCAGTTGAAGCATTTCCTTTAGCAGGAAGCCCAAAATATTTGGTATAATTTGGAAGAGCCTGCTAGTAGTGTTAATGTAATTTACTCGAAATTGGCTATGAAACTCTATGCACCGCTTTTAATAAAGATCTTGGATAAGTAGATGCTGCTTACATTGATAGAGCTCATCAATGAACTATCGAATCCTAGGGAAATCAATATTGGTCCTGAAATAGATAAGATATGCGAGACATACTAACCGTTCATAGTAGAGCAAAGAAAAACCATTCCAGCTAGAAGGTAAAGCTGGATATAGCCAGGACCTCGAGGATTCGGCTTGTTTGTCGCCATGATGGCTGCATTGGGTATGTTTCCGGACTAGGCTCGATCCCGTCAACATCGTTGAGATTAATATGTTGTCCCTTTTTATCCATTGAATCATGGCTCAAACGAATATTCGCCGCTTCGGAAGCTTGCGTATCTCTAACTTTGTCCGCCATAGCTAAGGCTGAGCTAAGGAGGTGACGAAGAGCAAACTTTGCTCTCTTGGCCAAAACGAGAACAATTAAGAGTTAAGACTTAAAAGAATCAGCACGATATCATCGTCTTATACGAGTACTTCGCACGACGCAAGGAACCGGGAGAAAACTTATCAACCCCGGCTCTCCACTCCCCTGGTAAGCCCCAGGAACACGGGTTCCCCATGGGGCCTGTAAATTTCCCACGCGATGCCCTCAGGAAGTGGGGAGCCATTCGATCTGGGGTCATGTTGCGACTCCAAATTAGATGTGATTGGCCTTCGGGAATTTAATTCCCCAGGCATCTAGGCCCTAGAGGCCCTAATGTAGAGGCTTCTTTGGTGGGGGTAGCGTTCTAATTTAGAATGCGGTCTTATATAAATCCCCCTTCCTGAAATCGAATACGGTCGAACAAACCACCGACTGCCACCAAGCGGTAAGGCCACTATCGTCAATAGAGTTGGCTGCAATTTGAGGTATTGCGGGTTTTGAATAATTCGAGGCTCGTGACATTAACCTCCGAGAGCTGTATCGGGGAATTACTGATTGATCGAAGCTCTCTCCTGAGTTTGCAAAGCTAGGCGACTATGGGTCAAATATGGAAAATGGCAGAAGGTATGTGATGATCGATACCGGAGGGTTATTTAGAAACTTGCTAATGTTCCGCAGTGAGTGAGCATAAAACTCAAGAGAGTTGCTGGATGGTCTTGCATGGGAAGGTTTATGATGTAGGTTATCAAAGTATAGAATGTAGTTTTCATGAGCGCTAAGCTAATTCGACGTGATTAGATCACTTCATTCGTTCCAAAACATCCTGGAGGGAGAAGTATTCTGCTGAAGAATGCAGGGCAAGACGCTTCGGCGGCCTTCGATTCGGTTCACCCAGTCGAGATGCTAGATGAGTATCTGACGCCAAACCAAGTAATAGGAACGATTGAACCAGATGACGCTGCCGAGGACAAGAAGGCACGGAAAGTCAAGCATGATTCGCACCTAGGATTGAAGGACACTTCATCCATCACGTTGCCGCCCCTTGCGTCGATGTTGAGTATATCTGAGATTGAATCGCACGCGATGAAACGTCTATCACCCAAAGCGATATCATATTATGTTTCTGCCGCTGACGACCAACTCACAAAAGAAGCGAATGGTCAAATATACCGCTCTATCCTCCTGCGACCGCGGGTCTTTATAGACTGCACAGAGTGCTCGCTGGAGACATCGATATTGGGGAATAGGGTAGGCCTACCAATATATGTCTCCCCAGCTGCCATGGCTCGCCTGGCCCATCCGAGTGGCGAAGCTGGAATAGCCCGCGCATGCTCAAAATTCAATGCACTTCAGATCATCAGCAAGAATGCCTCGATGTCACCGCCGGCAATTGTGAGTGCCGGGCCTGACGCAGTCTTCGCGTGGCAACTATATGTGCTCAAGGACCTCGCAGCAACTGAGAGGACTTTAGCCCAAATCCGCAAAATCCCACAAATCAAGTTCATCGTCCTAACGCTGGACGCACCGTTCCCCGGAAAACGCGAAGCAGATGAGCGCTTCAAGATGGCGGAGGTAGCTGGCGGGGCACCGCCGCGGGCTTGGGGGACAGAGTCGGCGTTAACATGGAGAAAGACATTGGAATGGCTAGGCAGACATACAAGCTTGCCGATAGTCCTCAAAGGAGTTCAGACACACGAAGATGCATACGCCGCAACGCTGTTCCCTGCTGTTAAAGCTATTATCATTTCGAATCATGGCGGCAGGGCACTTGATACTGCACCTCCACCAATCCAAGTTCTGTTAGAAATTCGAAAGTTCTGCCCGCAAGTTTTCGACTGCATCGATGTGCTCGTTGACGGGGGTGTCAAGCGAGGTACAGATGTTGTGAAGGCTCTGGCGTTAGGAGCGAAGGGTGTTGGGATCGGCCGAGCCGCTCTGTACGGGCTCTCAGTTGGAGGAGAAGAGGGTGTTGAAAGAGTGCTCAAGAGTAAGTGCCTAAGCTAGGGAGTGTGTAGATGATATCTATGGCTGACATATGGTATAGTTCTGGCTGACGAGACCCAAACGGCGATGAGGTTACTTGGTGTGAAGAATGTATCAGAGCTTAGCCTGCGGCACGTAAGTCATATCGTACCCATCTGTTCTAACTATTTTGACTAACCATATAATAGATCAATACAAGTGCTTTAACATCAAGGTTGTTCGATGGGCCTTCAGGTCTCGAGGATATTGAAAGGAAACTCCAGTCTAAATTGTGAAGATGTTACTGGGACTAGTAAATTGGGCTAATGAAAGGAGGTACGCATGCCATCAAATAGGGCATGAACTTAGTAAAATCTTGAAACTCCTTAAATTGTCTTTAGATATCCAGTAGGCCGACGAATCGCCTAATTGAGTATAGTAATATACATTTTTATTCGCTTTTAGATATCGTTTCATTGGGCTGCGAAGAAAGCTCCTTGGAGATCATCGTCCATTAGAAACGAACCCCAGTCCAACTCGGCGGTAAGCTGTTCATCGTACCAGCCGAAGAAATTCGAATCTCCATCCTGAGATGGGGTTCGGCCAGCAACTTCTGCTTCACCAGTAATTGCTTCATATATCGCTGCGACTATGTCTGGTCCCCTATCCGAAGCCCGCATCCACGGCTTCATTTCCGAGAATGTTTCGAGAGCTTTGACCAAGCTTGCGCGAGCCGAGGCCAATGACCCGGCATTCGGATCGGGGCGCGATTGCTCAATCACGATGGAAAGTAGAGGAATCATACAGGCCTGAAACAGGTACCAAGCTGAGTTCCAGACGTGAATTCTGTTCGGCGTCCAGTAAAGTGCTATCGAATCAATAGCTTCACCCGCAACGGTTCGGCAATTATTGATAATCTGAAGTTCTTCGGCGCTAAGCTGAGCCTTTTGAATGCGGCTATGCGCAAGATACAATATTAAAGATCGCATTAGGATTAAACGTATATTAAGGTAGCGGTTCCGCACTATCCGAGTAGAAGTCAGTGGATGTTTCTTTCGACAGTTTTAGTATCAGTAGCAACTCCCCATCGACTCCATCATGCAGCTTTGTCTCCCGATATGGGATAAAAGGGGCGAAGGAAACTCTGAATGCTACATACTGAATTCGCGTGCAACTGTGAGACGTGATGGCGAGTTTGTCGGTGACCGAAGAACTAAAGGTATGGAGGCGTACCACGTTTGCAGCTCTTCATCATAAGAGACTGCCTCGGTGATCGTAAGACGACTGAACCGTGCAAAGCGATTCTGTATGCGGTTGCATGATAGGCAGAACTGGAGACTAGCAGATAATGACATTGCCATATGATCATTTTCAGTTAAAAGACTAGGAAATAAAGTGTCCATCGTGGTACCCTCCCATCTACCACAGGTTGGACGGCCCAGTGTCATACTTGCCCAAGTATCAAGGCAGAATAAACTCCACCACGTCCTACGTTTAGTTTCGGCACGGCTTAGCTTCGTATCCTCTTGAACTTTGCTAGTGGTGGTATTTCGATGCCTGGACTCTCTATGTAACCCTAGAGCGATGGCGACGCGGTGTGCAGCACCAAGGACAGCATAGGCCATATTCGGGGCATTTCGATAATGCAAGTAGAGTCCCCCAAGCAAACAGAGAGCCTGCAAGCTTTCAAGATTGCCGGCGCCGAAGCTATCGAGATCTAAAAAGTTGCGAGCCTGTTCGTAGTATTGCTCATGAAGGGTATCGCTTCCAGAGGCTATAGAGCCAAGAGTTATCACCATATTCAGCAGACCGAGCCAACCGGGATCTCTGCGATGTCTCAAGGAGTAGGAATTCCGGAAGTCTTCTTCATCTAGCATAGGAACTATTGGATGGATATGCTCGAAATAGAAATCGATACATCGTTGCTCTTTGAGAAGATGGGTACTCAAGTCCCCGCTCATAAATGGTATAGGTTGAGGCTGGGGTTGAATAGGATTCTCGGACCATCTCTTGGCTTGCTCAGCAACGCGATGCTTCGCCGAGGGACAAAATCGGAAAACTGCTCGGAGAATGGCGCTGATTGAAGTCACACCTAGATAAGAGCGACGGTGTTTGTCGGTTGCGAGATTGATAGCGTTGATATCATCGGCGGCTTGCAGTACAGGCGGCTGGTGACTTGACTCGTCCCATTGCCGATCGGCCGTAGGCTCGCCGTTTTCAGATACTTGAGCGGAATCATCAGCCGGTTCGGCATATTCAGCAGGCCGGCTAACTAAGTCCACCGATGGCCCTTTGGATACTGAGTTTACGCGAAGGATTTCTAGCAACTCATCACGACTCTTGCCAATGAGCTCGTCCACGGACGCGTCAGGAAACAGTCGTTCAAGGATCTCTGTTCGTGACCTTAATCGCTCTGACACCTCCTCAAGGGTACTAAGTCCAGTCGTGTAAGTTAGGTATATATAGAATTCAGAGCTTTAAAAAACGAGGGGCACTCATTTTAGAGTAGGTAGACATTAAGATGGTTACCTTCTGCTGACAGCATTCCTCTTATTCCGCTGCCGATAGTTACATAGGTGTGAGACTTTGTAATACGCGCAAGAGCTATGATATGTATCAATATACGATCCGTGGGATATGCGATACGGCTACTTGCCTACATGGGTGGCCACCATCACACTTAACCTTCCGCCTAGTAAGGTAGCCAGTCAAGTCTTAGCAACCGAGTCAAAAGGGGGATCCTTGGCGTCACGTACCTGGTGCATTCCGAGCACGACTTATTAAGGCGAGCTGGTGCCGGTGGTGATGGGCTCGTTTTCTGATGGCTACTGAAATTGTGGAACATCAACGCAATGGGACATAGTCACGTATTTGTGACCACTCATTCATCGAAAGGGGCTTCATCGAGGGGGGGCTTGGTGTGATCAGGTGAGATTCCCTGGAGGAACTGGATAACGATTTGGAGTATCGTGAAAGCCCATGCATAAGACAAGCTTTTAATTTAATATATCTGCTTAGATGAAGATTCATCATGCAACAATAGAGGAGGCATCGCTACAAACCGATGATTTCCCCGGTCGCCCCGCACGAGGAATTGAATTTCCGAATACTAGAAACAGCATTCCACTATCAACCTTCTAAGGCACCTTAGGAGGTAATTACCTATAGGCACCTATCTATTACCCATTTAGTTGGTAGTTACGAACTATCAAATTAAGCCTTGATATGTCTCGGTCTCTATATCCCGATGTGGATATTTGAATTGTCCGCTCAGGAGGGTCCTAATACCGTCTTGCAACATGACAGGGGTGTCATGAACAACAACCCTTATGGACCTCGTTTGTACTCTGAGCACTTGTACTCTGAACTCATCGGGTATCCGTACAACCTCGTTCAAAAAGAGGATCTTATATAAATCTGGCATGATCCATTTCAATTTGAAAACGGACTTTGACATTCTAGGTGTCATCTAGTCAATTCGATCATACTTCTACCCACCATGGCTCCCACCAAACACATTCTAGATCAGGGGTGGACTTTCCAGCAAAGCAACAGTTCCTCAGACGACTGGCTCCCAGTGCAAAAAGTCCCAAGTCAGATTCATATAGACTTACTAGCCAACAATAAGTAAGGATAATTGTCTTCCCTTTACAGTATCATTACTCTTAGTATGGGAAAATGCTTATCCATCAGTAGGATCCCAGACCCATTCAATGATCTCAACGAACTAGCAGTACAATGGATTGCTGAGAAGGACTGGACATACAAGGTCCAATTTCAGAGACCTCCACACCCTGCAGTTGATGAATCGCTCATCACGGATGTTGTCTTCGAGGGTCTTGATACCTTTGCAACAGTACTGTTGAATGGAAGTGAGATCTTAAAGTCAGATAATATGTTCTTGTCTCATCGAGTAGAGATCTCCAACCTTCTTAAGGATGACAATATTCTCGAAATCAAATTTGACTCGGCTTTGTTACGGGGCCGGCAGCTGGTAGAAGAGCACAGCCATGAGCACACGTTCTACGTACGGCAAACAGAAGTTGGTCGTGTTCCTGTAAGAAAGGCTCAATATAATTGGGGCTGGGATTGGGGACCGATACTAATGACGGCCGGGCCCTGGCGGCCAATTTACCTTGAACAATACGTCTCAAGAATTGATGATGTTTGGACCCATTACGAAGTTAGTGAAGACCTGAAAAGATGTTCAGGCCGCATCCTTGCCAAAGTTGCGGGTGCAAGTCCAAAGTCAATCGTACTTTCAGTATCTTTCGGAGGGACGACTGTTTGGGAAAAAGAATGCGTCATTGACTCCGATGGGCTTGCTGAGACGGAGTTCCAGATCGACAACCCAGAGTTATGGTACCCATTTGGTTACGGTCATCAAGTCCGTTACGAGCTAAAGGCAACCATTGCAGGCAACGAAAAGACCAAACTTATTGGTTTCCGACGAAGTGAATTGGTTCAGGAAAAGGACGAGTTTGGCAAGTCGTTTTACTTTCGCATTAACGGGATCGACGTGTTCGGTGGTGGATCGTGTTGGATCCCCGCCGACAGTTTCCTCTCACAAATCCCGGCACAACGATACCGCGACTGGATGAAGCTCATGGTAGAGGGGAACCAGCATATGCTTAGAATCTGGGGCGGTAAGATATAATATTAGAATCTTTAATCTAGCATAAAGCCACTGACTAGCGATTATAGGTGGAATTTATGAGGACGATACCCTTTTTGACGCTTGCGACGAGCTCGGAGTCCTTGTATGGCACGATTTCCAATTCGCATGCGCCAGTTATCCAACATATCCCTCCTACTTGGAATCTGTTGAACAAGAAGCACGACAAAATCTTCGCCGGCTGAGGTCTCATCCCTCTTTAGTGATATGGGCCGGAAACAATGAGGACTACCAGGTCCAGGAGCGCTACCATCTTGACTACGATTATGAAGGGGACAAAGATCCCCAATCATGGTTGAAGTCCAGTTTCCCGGCCAGATACACATACGAGTACCTACTGCCAAAGATCATTAAGGAAGAGGATCCATTCATGATCTACCACCCAAGTAGCCCATGGGGAGATGGAAAGCACACTACCGATAAGACAGTAGGAGACATTCATCAATGGGATAGTAAGTCATGGATATTCGATCGGTATCATTCTCCCCCGCGCTGACAATATGAAGTCTGGCATGGTGCGATGAATAGATATCAGGAGACTCATCTACTTTCTGGTAGATTTATCAGCGAGTTTGGAATGGAGGCTTACCCGCATCTCGAAACAATTCGTGATATGATTAAAGACCCACAGCAACAGTACCCGGGATCCATGATGATGGACTTTCGCAATAAAGCTATTGACCACGAGCGCCGTATGATAACATACGTTGCAGAGAATTTCTTGGTGAAATATGACCTTCCGTCATATACCCACCTCACGCAAATTGTTCAAGCGGAAACTATGCACTTCGCCTACAAGACATGGCGCCGAGAATGGGGCAAACCCGGAGCGCGTAAGTGTGGGGGTGTGCTGGTATGGCAATTGAACGACTGCTGGCCAACAATGAGCTGGGCTGTGGTCGACTATTATCTCGTCAGAAAGCCAGCTTTCTACGCAATTGCGAACGCCCTGAAGCCACTAGTTGTGGGTGTGTCTCGAACGTATCACGAATGGACAGCAGGTCACGCCGATCCCACTTTGCCTTCTCGAGACACGAAATTCGATCTTTGGGTCGTAAGCAATCGGCAAGAAACAGCCCAGCTCGAAATAACCCTACGATTCATCTCGGTTCGGACAGGCCAGGATATTCAGTCCCCTTTAAAACTTGATACCGTATCGGCACAGCCAAACAGCACAACAGAAATCTTTCAAGATCGTGCTACCCCTGTGGTAGAATCTCAGTTAGCCGACACTACGCGGCCATTCGACCCAGCGAAATACGATCCCTACATAATCCATGCTATCGTCAGAGAAGATGGCCAGGTGATTGCGACCGATACTGCATGGCCACAGCCACTAAAGTACTTGGACTTCTCCGACCGAAACATAAAATTCAAAGCTTTATCTACCAACAGAGTTGTCATACTCTCTACTCGCCCAGTAAAGGGATTTGTTTTCGAAGAGACCCGGGACGTAAAACTAAGCGATAATGGGTTCGATCTCGTCCCAGGTGAAGAGAAGATTGTAGATGTATCCGGGGCTGCTTTAGATTCTTTACGCTATACCTACATTGGAGCGCCAGAAGGGTCTTTAAAAGTGTCGGTATCTACGTCGGAAGGGAGCTGGACGACATCGGTCGCTAGTCTTGTGTCAAAGATCACCTCTTGAGGAGCTATAAAGAAGGAGAGTATAAGTGGCAGACGTGCTACACGTGTATCTGTCTTGACGCTTGCTTTTGGCAGGATGATTGACGTGCCAGACAAAAGGTCCGACCCCAATGCCTGTACGGAATAGTTTATATTAGACTGCCGCCTGATCGGCTTGAGTCATTAATTTAAGAGATGGCTAGTCCGAGGTCCCCCCATACCACAAAAAATAGCCGTGGAACCCGACCGAGATGCTCATATTATCATCCTGTTTGGGTTTACGAAGCGAATTTGGACGCTGGAACTATTACATTCGAATCAAATTCCACGAAATATATCATGTAAAGTTCCTCAGGCTTTTGCGAATTTCAACCCCCATCTTATCAGGCACGAGATCATCTTATTATCACTAGCACAGCCAAATGCACCCCATCTTCATATGTAAAATTACTAACTGTATTTATCAGATCTTTCAGGTTGGATTTAGATATGACTACTTCGCTATGTAAATATTCGTCTAGTATACACCGCTGGAAACCCTATACGCCGTCTTATCTACAGCAAATAGGTATACCTCTAAATGAACCGCTGGTCTAAGGGCTCGTGTGGTAACTGTTTTGCTTACATATTCCAAGTAGCAAGCGTTTATAGAGTTATGGATAATCGACGTGACGAGCCCTCATAAGGATCGCACACTCTAATATGTTGGCTGAAATCTCGCAAGGTGACCTAATCGACCAACGTAGGTAGGTACCTGTTATAGGTATACGAGATTCCGATGCTCTATGTCGCGACGAAAGTTAGTATACTAACGACGCGTTATCCTGATTCGTCTTCAGGGTAATATCCAAGTTTGATGGCCACAATATGTATCCATCCGTTCAATGTAGTCCTTAACTCTCTCCATTACCCACCCTGACATCACTCGCGGGGTGGCGTCTTTAGAGATCTGATGTCCTAGAATAAGGGCCGATGACGTTTTACAGGACTGATCTGTAAATGAGAACTGTACGCAATCAGGTTGCTTCTCACAGGTGTTGCGACATTCATCGAAAGAAATAACCGAACCCTGGTCAACATCTGATAAATTATCCCAATCACTAAGGATTGACGAGAGACGAGGCAAGATGTAATGTTTAAATACGTCTCCGTGACGTAGGCGAGACACGTTCTACCGGGAACTCTAATGTTAGCATGAGCCGATCTGATAATCAACTAAGTTTAAGCTTACTTCCCGATTCCAAGTCTGTTCGAACTTGGCTAATTTGTGATATTCCGCAGGTGGAAGATGGTGATAGCTTGCAGCGTAGTAACACCAGGGTGTCTTATTCGATCCACCAAACGATGTGTTGAAATTCATATCAGCGGGCTGGTCACCAGTTAGAGTCGGGAAGGACCAGAGCAAATTTACACCCGAATCGGCTAGGGCTTTGCCTAAGATACAGTCACCAGCCCAGTGAGCGCCAGTCAACTCGTCGTAGAACTTGAAGTTTTCTCTGTGGTGTGCCACAACCATATTCAATGCAGGGTTAGAAATTGCGAAACCCCCACCACCATAAGCGAAGACGACGTCGCCAATCTGCATCTGCATGCCAAGATAATGTGGCTTAGAAGGATTCAAATGGGCAAGCCATTCTAGTAGGGTTTGCCAGAGCATATAAGTATCGGACTCGATGAAGATATACCACTTCGCATCGGGTCGATGGCGAAGGGCCTTTTCCGCTAGCGGGAGGAACTTCCACTTATCCAACCTCCAACCAGGACTATCCCGTCCGCCATTTGTATTTTTAGCGGAACCCCATTGTTCTAATTCTTCAGATGAAAAAGCCTCTCTGCCCTTCTCTTGTAAACGGCGGTAGTATTCGAAATCGGCATGCGTAGATATAATGTCCGGGTTGATCTCATCTAAAGCATTGTAGATGTGATGTCCTTCGATATCCTCTTCGTAATCGGAATAGATGGCGTAGTGAGGAACGCAGCGTAGGGTAGTCGAAAAATGAACTGGAAGTTTTTTAGGGGCCTCAGAAGCCCCTGTCCTGAGAATTACGAAAAGATCATCGAGTGCTTCAAGCGAGTCGCATGTTGAAGGAACGTCTTCTTGGTTAGGATATTTTTGGCCTACGGAAACCGGCTTGCGAAAAGAAAGATACTGCTGGAGTATTAGAAAAACCAAAATCACCGCAAGCACTCGATATCCTGAGCGTGTGAAGGATGACGGGAAAATAGAAAACATCATACAAACTAAGATGTTGTATAGTTAGTTGAAGGAGAAGTAATACCAAAAGGACTGAGTTAGAAGTGACAGAGCTAGCTCCATTTTCAACCAAGGACACGCCAACAAACCACGTTCGGAATTTTCGACGATTCTAAAATAAAAGGAAGTCTCCCTAAAACAAAGCAAGCATACGTAATGTACGTATGATGTATGTATCTCTAAAGAAAAGTATGTACTCTGTAGATCATTACGAAAGACCAATCCTGCCAGCCTAGACATCCATGTCTATTAAGTGGGATTGGTACGGATCCATAGACAACTTGTACCATAACGACTAGAAACGACTTGGCCTTAGCGGTATTAGCCACCAACGCCATCTGAGGTTTAGTTGGTTTAGCCCGTGCTTCGCCTTGGAACTAATGCAAGGGATTAATAGCAGAGCGCTTATGTACAAAGACACTTACATACGGTGTATTATTATGTGTATTATTATGTTGTGTATTATTATGTTGTGTATTATTATGTATTATACATGTAGCACCAGGGTCCAATCCACTCCTCCCCAGGATCATGATACCAGCGAAAAATTCTCGTGGTTGCGACACGTACATTTATGTAGGTTATTCACTCGGATATCTTTAGTGAACTTGCGGCTGAGTCCTTGGACTCCATAGGGCTGCTTATTACAGGCCAGGATGAAATAAGCTAAACATATTAATTTACAATCCTTGAGAGTATGAATAGGTACCTAAGTTACCAAAAGCCAAATAGTAAGCCCAGTAGTGCAGTTCCTGGCGCCGACCACTAGATTATACGAGAGACCATAACTCTCTCACGCTTTTCTGGGGCATCTCACTTTCCTTGTTATTGCTGCGTTGTTTTTATATATTCTAGTAATCGTTGGGTATTTCCGAAAGGCGGCCATGTGGTTTGGACCGTTCTCTGCGTTCATATCGCTCATATTCTTGAGCTCCGCCATTCTTGCACAAGATCTCCCCGGCCCAGGCGAGCCGGCGCTCGAGTACACCGATGGCGCGTTCACAGAGCCGAGAGGATCCCAAGCAACATACAGATTGGGAGCAACGATGAACGTTAGTTGGGATACGACATACGAAACTTCGAATCTTTGGTTGATCGTTGGCTGGAGCTTCAACTCACCTATACAACTCGCATGTAAGTCGCATAGGCCAACAATATCCCATTCAGCCCTATGGGATTAACTAAACAATACATAGCCAACGTAGGACAGACATGGTACGAATGGAAAGTGTCAACCGACTCAACGAATTCTTCGGAGATATACGCATTTCGCGTGGTCGATGCGTCTGGCACGACTGAAGATCAACAAGGAGGTGGATTTTTGAGCGCGGCTTTTTGGATCGGTGGTCTACAAACTACTACTTTATCGTCAACTATATCCCATATATCAACATCCGCCTCCGCACCTGTTACGACCTCTACCTGTTAGTTACATTTTTTCCTCGTTTACTTCGGATTTGACTAATCAATACCGAAATATTAGCGACGAGCTCCTCAGTGACATCTCAGACCCCCGAGAGCACGTCCGAGAGTCAGTCTTCTAGCCTATCAGACAGCGGTAAGATCGGTGTTGGTGTAGGAGTGGGAGTGGGAGGTGTGGGTATCATTGCCCTCGTTTTAGGAATATTGTTCTTCAGACGGTCAAAGAACAGTAGAACACAAGCGGCCGACAGCATGGAGCCTTATTCTCAATCCTCGCAAGCATTCCCCCCGACACCACAACCGTACCACGGTGCTGCCGACGCGCAATTTCCTGGCTATTATAAGCCGACGGAGCCAAGTGAGATGGAAGGAGTAGGAACGAGTGCTGAGCTAGACGGAGGACAAAAGGATATATTGACTCCCAGCGCATACCCAGGCAATGCTCCTAGACAGCACCCTGCTGAGCTTCAAGGATGAATTCTTTTCTAAAGCCAGAGTGATTTACTTATAAGATACCCACGCTTTGATTTGAAAGATTTATTTTTGGTCATAGGTAGATAGCCTGCGTGTTCGTTATGAGTAATGTAAATTTCTGAAGCTGCGAGCCATACGATAATATTTTCGCTTGAATAATATATTATTGCAATCATCTCATTCTATGTTAAAGATCGTAAGAGCCAATGTTAGTAGCAGGTGGAGCAACGTAGTTTTATAGAGTAGGAAAGGCTATAAGTTGACACCTGGATTTAAAGCCATTTATTGGTATTTCTTATTGTTCTATAAACATATCGTACCGAGAGAAATTCTGCCGCGAACATTAAGACTTGCGGCGTGTTACAATTTCATGCGGAGCAAACTAGTAAAAATACTTTATAACTAACATATCACTCTCAAATAGCCGCAAGAAACATTACATAATTACTGTTCTACTATTCTCATGAACCCCCCGAATCCCTGGGCCTTATATGTTAAATGAAAGGTTATGGATTCGCAAAGGTAGTAGTCGTATTAACTCCTCCAGATATCTCTGCTTCTTTAGGTTCTATCGAGTATGTCCGCAGTCGTGTTTTTGGGTGAAGGGGCATTTTGAACCTATTCATCAATCGGTCTACATCGGCATACGTTAGTAGATCATTGCTTGATGAGTGTTTAAATAGTCCTGTTTAATATTAGTCAAAAACCACTGGAAACTCAAAAGCTCCTCATACTTACGAAGCAAAACTTTGGGTAGCATCCATATTTTCGAGAATTTCTCTAAGAATAGTATGAGAGCACTCTCGGAATGAGCCAGACAGGGTATCAACGACGACCCTACATCGGTAATACATCTGCGGTGCAGGTTTGTGACCCAGAGAGCCTTGAATATAATGAGACATAGTGCGGGATCGACACGAGACCAGAACTGGTTATTCCATTCATCGACAACCGAGACGATATCCTGGCAAGTTTGAAGACTCCGTTGCCAGCAGTCTAACCATTGAGCCTCGTTCGCATAAAGGTTCGAGGGTAAGTAGGCGACAAGGCGCGTCATGTGCAGATGCAATATATTAGTAACTCGGATGCAATGGTGGATATCAGATTCTGCCGCCAGTACATTGCGCTTTGGATTAAGATACCCAGGGGGGAGTGCGAGGAGAACTGAAGTAAGAGCATCCCCTAAAACAGCCGTTTTAGAGTCAACACATTTTCTCGTGGCCCTCAGCGTTAAGACGCTTCCAGCATGGCGTAACATTGCGGTGGTAAGAATGTGAATGTTCAACTCCCGCCCACAATAACTTAACACAACATCTTGCAAAGTTCTCCAGAGTTGGTCTGTATCGTCAGTTAAGAATAGTTTTGGAGAGTTTGAAACCACCTCATCAGATAATGACCTCCTGAGGAGAGCGCTGTTGATACTTTCCACGTCGACCATAAAAGGGGTACCCAAAGCAATATTTGAATATGAATCGAGACGGTAGACACACCACCATACGTATCTCCAATCTTCAATTTCATCCTCTGTTATTAACCCGTGATTAAAGGCTGAACACAAGTCTGGATTCTCTATTTGATTGAGCCCTAAAGTATAAGCCTTGCGCGTTAATCGGCTTATTCTCATCCCGGCTGATGGCCCGGGAAACTGATGAAAGTTGTAATAAGCGAGGAGGCATTCTTGCCTGAAGTGATCCAGACCCGCCTGAGAGCCTAACGAGTCGCTTTCATAAGCCGTCGTCCCAAGTAGTGAGTTTATACACGAGTCTACATCCTCAGAACGCCAAAACTCAACTGGTCCTAAGAGTTTGGTCGTGATTGCGTTAATTATTACGACTAGATCATAACAAGCTGCGCCTTCATCGTACGACTTAAGAAACCTGCTTTTCTGGAACAGTGGGATAGCGGGATGTACATCGTCGAAAAACCGCAGTAAACTTCCTAGGGTGTTAAAAAGGGTCTTGATGAGCTGTATAGGGGCTGAAACTGACATGTCCTTTTCCTGCGAAGAGTCTAAGTAATAGCCTGGGAAGCTAGGCAAGCCTAATGCAGGTACCGTCATAGACACATAGTGTAAGAAGCTCGGACCGACACGATCAATGCATGGTGCGAAATGTACTGAAACATTATCGTCGAATATCGGGGTTTCAAGTTGATTATACCGCTGTAAATTCGTCACAGGTGTTGATTCATCTTCAATTGCCTGGTGATTTAGTGGGTTGATGACCGCCGGATTCGATATTAAACTATTACGAGTCCTCGGCCGAACCCCTCGCGGAGGACCCGGCTTTCGCTTCCGTGTCGAATACGTACATGAATACCCAGATTCTAAACAACGAGAGCAATGAGGACGTCGTAGATCACCTAGAATTAATAGCGTCAGCGTATAAGCAGAAATTATGTTATGAATTGTCCGCTTCACACTTGACTTTTTTCCTAAGACGATGTTAGTACCCCTTGTTCTTATCGCGATAATCAGTTACAGTAGCAACAAACTTGATGCATCGGTCGCAGACACGACTATTGGCAGGCATATTAAACGTATATTTGCATTGATTTTGACCGTCGTCAAGATAAGTTCATGGTTTTATACGGGATCTTTTACATTCCTAAACTTATGGACAAGTTGATGTTTCTGTTGAGGATATCGAGCTCCTCCGTGCCGTCGCGATTTCACTTCTCAATTTCCGTGGCTGAGATACGAACCAAAGTGGCTAATTACTTCGTACATGTGGCTTACACTTAGTCTCACGAAATCCCCCCCTATTCACCCCTTTTCAACGACAACTTCTAATTCTAGCAATCTAACATTCGGCATTAGCTAAGTTAAGCAGCTTTAACTTGAAGATATATAATAAATAATAACAGTATATAAAAAATATAAAAATTAGTGACTCTTTAAACGCCTCGATAGTCTAGTCTATACCTGTTCATCATACTCCTATCCAGTAAAATATTTATCTTAAGCGAAAGTAATTAAATTGAAGTAAATGGATTTTTTAAACTCGCATTCAATTTATTAAGTCCCTTTGGCTTTATGAGGATATCGATTAACTATTAAAGCGTTGCTTGAAAGGATATACCTCAATCTGAGCGGTGTAGTTTGAGGTTCCTCCGCGGAGGAACTCCAACTCTGGGTCGGAGGAACTGTATCACTGCCGTACCAACTTAAGGTCGATAATTAAACCATATATTATGATATTTTAATGAGAACTTTTGGTGAGGGATCCCTGGAATAGCGAATCTCGCATATTCTATTCGTATTTAGCGCCTATAAGCAAGTCCAAGTACTAAACGACGTGTCACCCAGGATTTGCCGATCCGACAACGAAATATACTTCGGCTATAAATGGAGCAAAATCCTTACTTTGGTTTTATCTTCATTTTCTATAATATCTACACTCAAAAATGGAAGAAACAGAAGTCATCATCGTGGGTGCTGGCCCATCCGGTCTGGCTTTAGCACTCTCATTGGCTAAATTCAATATTCATGTGAGTCCCAGTATTTCCTTTCGGACAACAGAATGATCATTGTTGACAATTTTCATAGTCTGTCATTTTAGAGAAGGAATCCGAGATTACACAAGACCCAAGGGGCGTTTATCTCACTAATGATGCGGTTCGCATCTTGTGGAATCTTGGCCTCGGCGACATCTTAGAGGAGATTGGACACGGTATGTTCTTATGCCACAAGCTCATTAAAACTCCATGGCTGATCATATCCTAAAGAGCTATCCATCATCAACTTTCATCAGACTTCATTTGCAAACGACCCCTTCTACGTGATGGATATCGGTAGTGACGGGTTCTGGCAAGTACTTCCAAACGCTGTGCTTCATACTCAGCCAAAGCTAGGTAAGATTACTAAACTACCTTTTACGTGGAAACGAACGATCTAATATAATAAAAGAGAGTGCAATGCGACGAAAGGTTGCCGAGTCGCCGTTTTGTAATCTACGATGTCAGTGTGAAGTCGTAGATATGAAACAGGAGGGTGACCGTCCTGTCATCGAATACGAAGACGAGAAAAGAGTTCGCCGTAAGATTTCAGGCTCCTTCGTCGTTGGGGCCGACGGAAAGAAAGGCGTTGTGAGAAAAAACTTCCTCGAGGAGTCAGCCGGAATCAAGCAAGTTGAGGGCTCGTACCGTTATGATGGAACGTGGATTGCAGCGAACCTAAAACTCAAGGTACCAACTCCGGAGACACATCCTGGCTTCCCCCTTTGGGCACTTGGATTCAGCCCTGAAGCAGTATACGACCTTTTCTGGCCGAAAGGTTGGCATTTCTGTAGCCCACCAGGAAGAGCGACTGCCGCGGGGAGATTTGGCCCTCACGCGGAGCGGTTGTGGCGCCATGAGCTCGAGCAGAATGACTGGGACGATTCTATGGACGCTGAGAAGCTCTTATGGGCGAACATCAAGCCTATGATCACACGTACGAAGGATACCTCAAACAAGCTGTTCCCCTGTGGCGATGTCACATACCCGCGCGATTGTATCAGCATTATCCGGTGCCGCCCATATCTATTTACGCACAAGGTCGTCAATAAATGGTACCACGACCGCATTATTTTGATTGGCGACGCCGCACACGTGTTCCCGCCATTCGGGGGTCAGGGTATTGCAAGCGGGTTTCGCGATGCCCATCAGCTTGCTTGGCGCATCTCGCTACTTCAGCTTCTACCCAAGAGCGACAGATCGCTTCGTGATAACCTTCTGGAGGGTTGGGCACGGGAACGCCGCTATGGCGTTGACGATGCCACGAAAATCACGAGCCTAAATGGCAGGTTATGCAATAAAGGCGATGATTTTTACTTCTGGCTGATACGCACGATAGTTTGGCTCTTGAGAAGCATTTCAACTATCTTTAGCATGCCCGATCCTATAGCTGCTTCTGAGACCAAGGGATATCAGCATGTTGACGATGGCTTCATTTTGAAGAAATTTCGTGGCGGGAAACGCCTAGCTCAGATTTATGTGGAATCAAGTCACCAGTCTCCCATGTTATCGGATGAGTTGATAAGGAATACTAAGACGGTGATGACGTTACTGGTCATAGCAAGAGGCCAGTATAGAGATACAGTGGCGGAGGTACGAGAAGTTCTCAGAGCAGTTGACCCGAACCCATCAGTCTTGTCGGAAATATCTCTCCGAGTTTTCTCTCCCGAGACGCCATCTGATACCGATGGTGTTGAGGTATATTTTCCTACACCTACTCGCCGCCTCGTCGACTTAAGTATCTCTGTCAAACCGGGATACAGCCCATCTAACTATCTACGTCGGTTGGGCCCAGGTACGAAATTTGTTATCGTTCGCCCTGATTTATACACTTTCGCTCTCGCGAATAACACGGAAGAATTAGTAGAATGTATTAGAACACTCCGGTCACGGCTCCAACAAGAAAGTTGAGCTGCACAGTCGAGATCGGGCATTATGTTGGTTACCTAATCCACCTCAACCGTTATGTAGAATACCTGAATCCATAAGCTTAAACGTACGGATATACATAGTAAGATTCAGGGGTGGGTATGCAGCTCCTTGCACACCGCCGGATCCACAAAATCCCTCGTTGAGTCCCTACTTTCGAATGCTTTGTCAGAATTTAGTATACGCCGTATCTAACGGTGGTAGTGTGATTATCCACTCTGGGAGTATAAAAGGCTTGCACGGAATGCCTTAGGTTAGGTACATTTTCCAAACCTGACTTAACACTCCTACCATCTTCTTACCTACACTACTTACTCTTCCGTCACTATGCCAACAGGTAGCTGTCTATGCGGAGAAATTAAAATCGCCTACGAAGGTGATCCAGTATATCGGGTGAGCTGCCTTAAAGGTATTACCTATTCGATATATACTAATAGTAAAAGGCAATATGCTATTGTCATGATTGCCGTAAAATGGCAAACGGTCAGGTTTTCCAGGTGTTGAAAACGAGCTTCTCGGTAACTAAGGGCGAGCCAAAGACGTATACGAAGGTGTCGGATCACGGAAATGTGAGTCTAAAACCAGATATATCCGGAGTACATGGGCTAATCTTACCACTTGATATAGGAAATTACAACTTATTTTTGCGCAACATGTGGCACAGCTCTGTTTCGAAGCGGCGGGGCAGAGATGAACAAAGATAAAATAGGTATTCGCGCTGGTGTGTTGGATGACCAAAGCATTCTGGATAACCCCCCTGCTCTTGAGGTCTATGTTGAGAGACGACCACCGTGGATAAAGCAGGTCGAGGGTGCTGTCCAACTGAATCACAAATACGAGGTTGTTTCTCAATAAGGGTTATGAATCGTGTCTCAATTATATTTTTTATAGTATTTCGATGTCTACCTCCATTCCTTCTCCAAAGGCTTAAGGTGCTTTTACCCTCCAAGAATAATGTCTAGCTTAAGTTTTGCTAAGGAATATAGAGGTAAGCTTTTACATTTACACTATGAAATCGGCTCAATAGTTTATAGAAAGGACGATATAAAGTGCAGGAATCATAAAGCGTATTTAAGAAGTACCTATCTAATATCGCTGTCACGATTGTCGATCTTTAAATGAAAGGAATTAGAAGCACACTGCTAGTAATAATAGGGACACGCTTCTCAAGCCTTACCTTGTACCACAACACACTTGGCATAAAATTGTATGAAATGTCGTTGCTTTGTTTGATAAAACCAATTAGGTCAATTTTATCTTATCCTAAACTCTTCGCTTTAGTCCAATATCCAATGCTAGCGGCTTCCTTAAGAACCCCTCGCGAGTCTCCATCTCGCCCTGACAGAGAAATACGTTATATCGCCGCGCCCAGGTCGCCACGATCATCTTCATCTCCATCTCGGCCACGTTTCGGCCAACACAGGCTCTGGGACCCGTGCTGAATGGTATAAATGCGTTCTTCTGGCGAGTCGTTGTGTCTTCCCACCTCTCGGGGCGAAACTCATCTGCATCGTCGCCCCATATCTCCCGCGAGTGGTGCATGGTATATGTTGGCACGCTAAGCACCGTGCCGGGAGGGAAGTAGTATCCACGGATGTGTACTCCCTCAGAATCGGACGGGATCTCTCGTGGCAGGCCGATCCCAGACGTGCAGTGAATACGCAACGTTTCGTTGAGGACCATCTGGAGGTATGGTAAATTTCTGATTGTGTCGTACGCGGGTACGGCGACGTCATCACTTGGGATTGCTGCATCGAGTTCTGCCTGCAGCTTTTGTAAGACACCAGGAGTCCGTGCGACGTGATAAAGAAGAGCACAAGACGAATTAGAGGTCGTGTCTGACCCTGCAATCAGCTGCGTTAGTGCTTCTGCTGTTAGTTCCTCGAAACCTAATGGTTCGCCTTTCTCGTCGCGCCCTTCTTGCAGCAAGGCAAGAAGATCTCTGCGGTTGATATCCGGTGGGTTCTCGAGACGATCTTTTACGCGCGCAATAGCGATGCCGGCCAAGTTCTCCACAGCTGCGAGACCCTTGCTAAAGAACGAATCGGGGAGCCATTTGGCGTATGGCTTCAGCTGTGGGAAGCAGCCGAGCGCAGCAGACACTTCACCGCGGCGGTTGAGTATTTCAACCGCCGGCGCATAGATGGGCGGCGAGTCAACAGCTGTGCGAACCTCGGCAATATCTGCTCCTGCTTTCAGCATACCGAACGGGGCGCCAAATGCCAGATCCCCAATGGTGTCGAAGGCAACGTAGTTGAACCATTTTAGGCAATCCACATAGGCCGTTTTATCCCCCTTTGGTGAGCTTTCGATCAGCTCGTCCCATTTTCTCACAAACGTCTCGAGATTCTGGTAAATGTACGGCTCAAATTGAGATATAGCCTTCGGAGCGAATGTGCTTGAGACCAACTTCCTCTTGCGAGTATGCTCGGCGCGGTCTCGAGTATTGAATAGACCGCGCCGGATCGACACGAAGGCGTCGTAGAACTCGGACTTGAGGAACCCGTTTCCGTGGCCGTAGATGACCTGGATAGCCTCGTCGTCGGCAACGCTCACGTGGTTTGGCTGGATACGAACGACGGGACCCAATTTCTTATGGACCTTATCCACGACGAGATAACGCCTTCCCCGCCTACATGCGTAGAGGAGCCACAGATTGGTGAATTGAGCTGGGAAAGGCGCAGGAATATCTCGAAGGTGACCGTTCGTCGCTAAGTATGAGCGGACGTAATAGACTACAATAGCAAGGCATCCAAGGGCCAATGCCCAAGGCAATGGGATCTGATCGATGATTGACATTTTGGCGGTTTATAGCGCAAAGGCAACTCGGTATTGAAAATGTGTTGAAAACACGAGAGTCAAATTTCTCTCTTTCAATTACATCGGTTCTTCTTCACACCCCTTATAGGAATCTCAACGGCTAGTTAGCATTAGCTCTGTAGTATATTCTAAAGGTGTAATGCGGAGATCTGAACTTGCTGACACCCCTCAAATTATATCTATAAGCATCATCGGTTGTCAGACTCGGGTTCTAAAAGCCAATGTTAGAGACGGGTGTAGTCCGGATTATGTACGGTCACTACGGGCTGTGGATCGAATGGGCACTAAAGAGCGCTGAGTTGTAGGTTGAACTGGTTGATCGTAACACCTTCCAGAAATCAAACCCTGTACGGCAGACGGGCACGGCTATAGCGAAGGCAACGTCTAATCGCCGAAACTAACTACCTAACCTTAACTAACATAATAGCACATGCGTATTTAAACTCAATTCGCCAATGATATGAGCTTCAATAGAAATCTTGGGAAGGAGCGCATCATTGGTAGGGTACCTATGTGCAGCTGCCTAGGTACATATGTGAAAAGGATTCAATTCACCTCTAGAACACATTTCGCTTCGCTAACCCTGACCCCGGCTCGCAGCCGCGTCAACAATTGGAACCAAGTACCCAACAAGCAAATAAAATGGTTGATAGCGACTCACAACGTACCTACACGTATTCCGATTATGTGCTATGCTACGTCTCTTTTTGTCATGTTACAAAAACACCTTGGTGACAATGCTAGCGATTTTTGAAGATACCTACGGTCCGTACACTGCGACAGTGAATCCGAATGCACAACTTTGGAGTACGGGGAAACCCCGCACTCGACAGTACCTAGGTAACATTAGGATGGTTGACACACTATTGTAATGCGTTACCAACACTCTCCTAAAGCTGACATTAGGTCCTACCTTATTCCTGAGTGAGTCTTATTGCATGTTTGGCCACACGACAAAAAGGTAGAGTAGAGCCTGTAATGAATGTCCTAGGTTAGTCTGTTACGAGCGGATGCAATCACCTAATATTCCCATTCTGATGTGTTTGATTGACGGAATTTCTCATCCGATCCCGATCCTTGGCTATCGTCTGTGGACAAATCCGGGCCTCGGTTATTCGCGTCTGAAATATTGGGTGCATTCCACGTTACCGACGGCAAGGACACACGGGAAACATGTACAGTCTATGAAATCATCAACGCTATCAAATTTACTGTGCAACCAGGTAGTAGTGATCAAATCAATCCTTAAAACTGTGGTGGAAAAGCTCAAGATAGGCTATATCAACTTATGACTATTTTAGAAACCTCTTCATGGTAACCTCGTCTGACAACGCCCCTATTTGATTAATTTATTTATAGCTTGCCGGCTGTGCGGAAATCCTCAAGTGCCTCGATAACACGGGCCTTCATCGTCTTCTCACCTTCCCTTACCCACACACGGGGGTCGTACTTCTTCTTGTTCGGCTTGTGGGGACCCTCAGGGTTGCCGACCTGAGTTCTTAGGTAGTCGATGTTGTTTAGGATGTAGTCTCGGTGACCGACGAGGTAGGCCCACTGGAGATCGGTGTCGAGGTTGACCTTGACGACACCGTGAGATATAGCCTCCAGGAACTCTGCCTTGCTCGAGCCAGAGCCGCCGTGGAAGACGAAGAAGACTGGCTTCGCCTGACCGTCTCCGAGCTTCTGGGCAACATGGGCTTGGTGCTTGCCGAGGAGTTCGGGGTGGAGCTTTACGTTGCCCGGCTGGTAGACACCGTGGACATTGCCGAAGCCAGCGGCAATGCTGAACAGGTTAGAGATGGGGCTAAGTGCCTCATAGATGGCAAGGATATCCTCGGGCTGCGTGTAGAGGGAGTTGTTGTCGACATCTTCGTTGTTGACACCGTCCTCCTCACCACCCGTTAAGCCGACTTCCATTTCCAACCACAGGCCCAACGGCTGAGATCGCTTTAGGTATTTGGCTGTTGTCTCAATGTTGTACTTGAGGTCTTCTTCCGATAGATCGATCATATGGCTGCTGAACAGAGGTGTGCCGTGCTCCTTAAAGAATGCCTCATCGGCATCAATCATGCCATCCAGCCACGGTAGTAGCTTCTTGGCACAGTGGTCACTGTGTAGGATAACGGGGACACCGTAAACAGGGGCAATTGCGCGGATATAGTGAGCGGCAGCAATGGCACCAGCAACGGAGGCTTCTTGGTTTGTGTTCGGGATGGACTTGCCAGCGAAGAAAGCTGCACCTCCATTGGAAACCTGAATAACAACAGGTGCTCTCGACTCCTTGGCAGCCTCAAGAACAGCAACGACAGTAGAGGACGAGGTCACATTGACAGCGGGGAGAGCGAACTCGTTTTCTTTGGCGTACTGGAACAACTAATGGAAGAATAAGTTAGCCGCATGAAGTAGGTATAACAAATCAGTTTAGTTACCTTGTAGACATCCTGGCCGTAGATGACACCAGGCTTAAGATTCAACTTTTCCATTAAACCCATTGTGAATCTAAGGCGACGTGATAAATGATGATTGAGAAGGAAGGTAATGAGGTATAGGTAGCTAGGTACGCTGCCGCGAGAGATAAAAGTGTTGATGAAGGTATTAGTACCTGTTGTGAATTTGGTAAGAAGTCTGAGGGAATTAAAACAGTGACGACGAAAGGTTGAAGAAAGAAGAAGAGGGGGGCTATAAGGGCTGTGGAGGGGTCAGACCTTGATCGATCCACGGTGACGCAGATGGCCGAGATTTATTATGGAGAGCAACTACCCGAGTTATTTCGTGAAGTAAAATTGTATCATGCCTGAAACATTTTGGCCAAACCTAGCTTCCATTTTATTAGGTGGCTTCTTTGGCTTATTTGGCTTTCTACTAGTGGCGCATTTGCCGTACAGGGTATTCGGCGGAGCAATAGACGCCATCTACAGCTCTTTCTCAGGATACATCTACGTAATACCTTCCGGCAAGCTTTGACGCTTCTACCCCTCCAATCCTCAGGAGCTGCCCGGGAAGTCAAGGTGGGGTAACCCGCCTACTTCTCAGCGCAACCAAGCAAATAATATTCAACACTTTACCAATAAATTATGACATATCTTCTAATTCTGAGAAATTCTAGACGCCAGCTGTGAGCTTCGCGAATGAGGAATGTCCACATCCATATTTTTATGGTAGTCTTGAAGGTATGTTGAAGTCAATTGCGGAGCATCTTTCATCATAGTACATTAATACCAGTCAACAAACAAAGAAAAAAAGGGTCCGCCAAGCCCCGCCACCCACATAGACATTCAACCAACTTCTGCAGGTACTCCAATCAGACTTTTATTTTATTTATTCAAGTTTACTTGCATGATAATATGAACTGAATATTTATATCAAATAATCTTATATATAATCGGTCATTACCCCTTTAATTACGCTATCGATGCGCTATTAGTCAAAGCAGCACTAAGCTACTTAGGCGCCTTGGTATGAATGATGTTGAAATTGCCATTAATAGCTCAAATCAACCCAGATTATTTCTCACATTGTCTTTTCTTTTTTTTTAGTTGAATTGGTAAAGTATCACTGCGTGAAAACGTTTCCTACAATAGAAGGTTGATGCCGGCGTAATATATACTTGTAAAGTCGTTATCGTTTGGTTAATCCTATAATGATGGGAGCTCGCCATAATGAAGAAAAGGGGGTGTCATTGCTAATTGACACCGAGCAAAGAGAAACACATCAAGACATATCTACCTAAGCACCTTTAGATAGATAAGTTTTTCATAATAGTCAGTTCCTTAATCTCCATAGCCTTCCGCTGCCTCATTATGGATTACTATTATCAGCATTTCTCCTCCTCATGCTCTCTTATGCTAGCGAATGTGGAACTTAGCAACCGAGTCCACTCTCCGCGCTAAGTCACATAGTGCAACGAGGAAATTCTAGACATACCTATAGCACAGTGTAACTCACGATGCTATCACCAGCATTACCAGCATCAAATGGCGCAGTGGCGGAGTGGTCTAACGCGCAAGACTGTTAGTCTTCTTCCCCTTCGTGTAACCTGTCCTGTAATTTTCTAACATTCTCCAGAGAAATCTTGTTCTTTCGGGAGCGTCTGTTCGAATCAGGCCTGCGTCGTTCCAGTGAAACTTTTTTTTTTTTTGGGTTTCTCGAGATCCAACTAAAACTTTCAACTCATTTTTGCTATCTTAAAATGTCTAATTTTATCTTATGAGTGTAAGTTGGTAGGCAATTCACATTCTAGACGGGCTTGCTAGTAAGACATATGTTCATAGAAACGGGCGCATAGTACGCAGAGATAGGAGGTGTCCGGCTTTGAAAACTTCCCTGTCTCAATCCAGCCCCCTTATTGCATATCCTTTTGTTATGATTTGATCTTATAAGAGGTAGTTTATTAATTTGATACACTAATTAACTCTCTAACTAACAAGAGTTCACAAGGTCACTGTAATTAGAACCAAATCAAAGAGCTTGTCTCTTAATTGTCTACAGGGGCGTAGATATAAAAGCGAAAGCATGAATGCTAGGTATAAAGAACGCAAGATTACGATCATCTCTGCTACATTTCCTCTGTTCTATCAGATTTGACTCCTTTCTATGCACTAGCATTCAGTATAATTCTCGGTGAACTGTATGCCCAGTAGCTACTTAAACTCGGCAGCATGGGCTTGGAATTGGATTTGCATGAAGAATTCAGGGAGGTGTACATGTATACGCAGCGCTTACACCTGCAGTATCTTCTGGTACTTAACTCAGAGGAGCCTACTTGGAAAGCCGAGCAACTCTTTCATAAGTTTGAGAAGAATCTCGGCGTCCAACCGTCTGGATTTGTAATGCGACTTTTACTTATGTTTATATATATGTAGGTAGGTAAACAAAAGGCACCTAAAGTTATAATGACCGCAGCGTCAATCTTAAAATAGAGTTGTATCTATTCGGATGATTCAGCCATAGTGGTATCCCTGACTATACTACTGGAGGCAGCCCTGCGGGCTGCACAATATGCCCGAGTTTACATAATTGCGCACGTGCCATATACTGCCCATTGAGTTACTTTCCTATTTGGG